TGTGTGTGTGTGTGTGTGTGTGTGTGTGTGTGTGTGTGTGTGTGTGTACGCCTACTGCGAGACAAAACCCATAATACACTCCTCATAACGTGTCTGTTCATGTTTCATTTATAAGATATTGCCATGACCAGGCAATTCTTACTACCAGCGTAATGTACCTGTAACATTACTAGAGGCCCATGTCGATCATATTGTATTGCTCTAATGTTTGCAGCATTTTGGTGAGAAGTCCCAAGCAAACATTCAGTTCACCACAGATCCCATACAGGGCCAGCTCCATTAGACTTGTGCCCAGTGACGTCACATCCATCCAACTCCCACTTGTGGGACCCAGTAACTCTGTTTTCTTCTCTACCCACAGCTCTTACCGCCTGGATAAAATCAACAGTGACATGCGTAACTACATCACCAATTTTGCTGCAGACTTGAGGTGAATACAGGCTCCACAGCGCCACCCCTCCCCTTGCCTCTCTGTTGCTGCCATGTTGCAGTGGTCAGACGGCGGAGCCAGCTGGCTCGCTGCCCTGCTGACATACCCAATATGAACGCCTCACGGAGCAAACACTCAAGACCAGTCAACGAGAGGTCACCTGGGGAAGCCAGCACATACTGGCAAAGGATGGGGCTCTGTTAAGCACAAAATAGATTTGATTTGATTCACCGCTATACATTACACCGCCGGGTTTTTTCAGATGTTAAGAAGGTTGATATTACTTTGCAAACACACACAGCCTTGCTTCAGCATTCCAAGATGGATTGGGGGACTTTTAATCACGCTGGCATTTTCCTCGCTGCCAAACACCAGTGTTTATCGCTATAAAAAGCCCTGAAACTGCTTACTCATCTCTGCCTGCCATTAGAAATGGCTCTGGCAGAGGAAAACTCACTTTGGTATTCCTAATGTGACTCACATAGCATTCTCTAGTTTACTTAAAGTGCCTTTCTTCTCGCATGTTTTTCTATTTGTCTTCTCTCCAGCAGATTTCAAACCAGGCTTGGCTTTCTGACCTTCCCTGCTGCACTGCTGGGGTAGCACATTTAATTGACCTGGCTGACACCGGGGTGCTCTCTGAAGCGCTTGCTCACTAACTAGCTCCTGTTTTGCATTTCCCTCATTTCCAAGCATTGATTGGGTGTTTCAGCACAACAGAAATCGAACTGCCTTTTTGAGGACGCTGGTGAAGACATCAGTCTAGTGGGGGAGACACCCAATGTCATAACTGTCTCCTTCTTAAGTTCAGGTTGCCCAGAGGAGAACACTTAATTGTGTTTGCCATCGTGTTACACCTGTAGCCACTGGACAAACTGCTTTGGTTATTAGTTAAATTGTGTTTTATTGACTTGCTGAAGACATCCTCACCATGGCTGAAGTCCCACTCCGTTGCTGCTTCTCTTTTTTTCTCTCTGTTCAGTCAGAGCTACCACTTGCAAGCCACCAGGGACATGCACCCAAGCATTGCCCTGGATCCCTCTGCCAACTACAACTCTCCCAAGTTTCGCTCCAGGAACCAGAGCTACATGCGGGCAGTCAGCACCCTCAGTCAGGCTAGCTGTGTTAGCCAAGTGAGCCAGGTGAGTCTGCGCCCTTTCAATTAGGAGGGCTTTTCAAATCCAAACTTGTCCTGGGGAGCGGTGGTTTGTACACTGGGGGCTGCTCAGGGACCCTGAAGAGGTCCCAGGGAGTATTCAATGAAAGGGATTGGAATAATTTCACACCAAAGTTGTTCATTTAAAACTCCTGGAACTCCTGAAATAGCACGACTGTCCTAAACATAATTTTGATTCTCCTACCGTGTTTTCAATAACCCACACAAACATCCCTTTTTTTTTGGCTTCATTTTACTGACACATATTTGTTTATGACAGTTCATTGCACACTGTTTATCTGGATAGATTAAAAGACTCCAACAGGGGTTGATGAGATATTCATCTACCTCTTAAATGGGGGGCATATTGATTTCTTCAGAGTCTTAAAAGCTCAACTAAACTCTCCTAATTCAAAATCCCGATAGAATAAGATGTTTATCTTTGATTCTTGATATTGCCAAACAAGTCAGTACCAAAGACATTACTCGGTGCATCAAACCCATCTGTAACAGGAAACAGAAGTACTTCAGGTCAACATCAACAACAAATCTTTTACAGCAAACTCCCTGATAAGGTATGACCTTGATTTAATGAAAATGTACACCATGCTGTTTGGTTGTATTCACACAAAGCGCGATCTACTGAACCAGCACGCAGGTTATCTTCTCGTGTGTTTTTTGTGACATTATAAGAACACATCTTCCCTTGATCTCTCTGCTGTTTTTTTAACACACACATTTGTTTGATTTTAGCAACTTGTTTGTCTGAAATACTTTGTTTTTATTTGAAGGGAAATTGACAGAGAACACAATGTGAGGTTTTTTCCAACCGACCAATTCATTTCTCCAGATGAACAAAGAAATAACCTCACTTGCTTTAACAATGGAGAAAGCATTGCTGACGGCTTTTCTTTCTCACAGGTGAGTGAAACAGAAATAAACGGCCAGTTTGAATCGGTGTGCGAGTCGGTGTTCAGTGAGGTCGAATCCCAGGCCATGGAGGCTTTGGACCTGCCCGGCTGCTTCAGAACCCGGAGTCACAGCTACCTGCGAGCCATCCAGGCCGGCTACTCCCAAGACGATGACTGTATCCCCCCCATGGCCTCTGTCACCTCCACCATCAGGTCGACCACAGGTAAGGGCATTTTGACATTATTTCAATCCGCACAACTCAATGTGTGTCATCCTGGATGTTGGTATTTTTATTTATTTGTACTTTAACAAATTAACACCAAAAGCTTACATTTGGCATTAACGTGTGTTAATGGATGATTATAGAGCAGTTAGTGCACACAGCTTCATATCGCTGCATGAATCACTCTTGTGTGTTTCCATTGTTTTTGATGGACGTATGATTACCGTAGCTACCACTTGTGAGCTGTGCTAGTTCATCCAACTGTATTTTGGATACAGTGCTTCATCTGCTCATCCATTGGATGCATCAGAGAGTAAAGCTATGAACCCTATTGAAAATCACAAATGGAAATTGTCTGAAGAACAAACTCAGGTCAGGATAAGAACATGGCTGCTTTTTCCGCTACATTTTGGAAATCTGACTTTCTTTGTGGTGCCACAGGATGACACTTTTGACACTTACATACGGCTTTGTTGCGAACAGGGCAAAGAAATGGGGAAATTCCAGTATGCAAAGTATGCATTGTTAACTTGTAAACCCAGTTTACACTTAAATATCACAGCATATACTATGAGGTTTCTTCGCACACAGATTTTTCACTTCACACAAATTATTTTGTATCATTGCAAAGCTCCTGTTTACTCACAATGAGATCACATTACAGAAGTGCACACTATTGTGTCTAGACCTGGATCTTGAATTATCTAATGCCGACAATGAATATACTGGTAACTGAACTGTCACACTGGTTCGTCACATATATAATAATCACATAATGCAAACTTGTTACAATAAATCAAAAGCTACTCAGCTGACGCGTGCATTCATTTCCGATACTCAGCTTTGATTATATATTGTAAGCTTATGGTGGTTTCAACGATTCCCGTGATTGCTGGCTTCACAGAGGAAATGATGCGTCCTTGTGCAGATGAAGGATGTTGGAAGAAAAGAAGAAAAAGTGTCCGGGATGAGAAGTCTGAGCGGATTCCACCTTTTCCCACAGTAGATTCATGAACTAACAACATCAGTTGGACTATAATAGGGAAGGTTAGAGGTGTGGCCATCTGGAGCTGTGCTTATGATCAATTCTTCATAAATGTTTACTTTCACTGCTTTCTCAGTAAACTCAAATATCTTTCCATTTTTAGGATACAGAGTTTGGTATGTGATAGATTTCGCCACTATTTTAGACATGAGGCAATTGGTGCTGCGAATCAATCTGTCAAACTGGACCTCACTTTTTCAATAGGGTTCATACTATACTTCCTGATTGATGGAAAACGGTTTGGAAGCTTTGCTCATCTTTGCCTCTTTTCATTGCACAAAGTACACATTTCTTTACCTCGACTAAAAGCAGACGAGCATGCAAGGATTGTTCTTACACCTCATTTATTAGAAATATTGTCCATTCTCTGTGATGTTTTCCGGGAGCTAGGAGTTTCAGCTTTGTGCATTGAAAAGATGCAAAGAATGCATGCTACAAATTAAGGTTGAGAAGGCAGTGTAAACCATTAATGGAAATGAGTCAAAATGGGAGTACTTTCCCAGTGTTACACTGGTTTTCAGCACCGTAATGTATGATTATATCACAGATAATAAAAATTCTCGAATAAAAATACTTCTATACACATCTACAGTATACAGATGAGTGAATTGGGGCAATAATCACAAGGTTAGCACTTAGTTGTTGTAGATTTCTGCTATTATCTTATTTTGACTCATGGCATTCAGTGCATGATTTGATGTTACTGCTTTTGTAGCAATAAAAAGCACATTCTCTCCAGCTGCTCACACCTGTGGCCATATTACAGAGACGTATTCATATTTGTCTTCCAGATAGAAATTATGTGCAGGAAGACTCTTGTTTACCCGGCCAGGCCAGTGTACTTGAGGATTTGGCAGACACGGCCCCTTTGGCTCATGATGATCTAGGCTGCCCCATCAGAAGAGACAGACTTTACCAACAAGATAACATGGGCGCTACAGCCAAACCTCTGTCTGGACCACCTGTGTCTCCAAGCCTCTTCAGATCCCCCAGATCTAGTGCCCCAGAACGGCCATCGCCAAAAGCCATCCAGGCCAGTATCAAAGAGTCAGCTACCTTGGCTGCAGCTATCAGCATGCAGTGGAAGGAAGAGGTCTCAGCCATGCGTCGAGAGCTAGCCGATCTAAGGAGGGACCTCTGTGTAGAGCTTCGTGCTTTCAACAGTAATTTCAACACTTTCACGCAGCATTACAACACTTGGTCTCCCCAAGGTGGCAACATGGCTGCTGGAGCTGAGGTGGGTTCAGGTGGACGGGTTGGGGCAGGGACAGGGACAGGACCAAGGGGAGGGGCAGGGGTAGGTGTAGGTGTAGGTGTAGGGGCAGGGGCAGGGACAGGACCAAGGGGAGGGGCAGGTGTAGGTGTAGGTGTAGGGGCAGGGACAGGACCAAGGGGAGGGGTAGGTGTAGGTGTAGGTGTAGGGGCAGGGGCAGGGACAGGACCAGGGGCAGGGGTAGGTGTAGGTGTAGGGGCAGGGGCAGGGACAGGACCAAGGGGAGGGGCAGGTGTAGGTGTAGGTGTAGGAGCAGGCGGACTTGGAACCTCTGCGGCAGGTGGAGGCACTGGGGGAGCTAGAGAGAAGAAACCCAAGATCTCAAAAGTGTCTGTGGGGACCCAGGCCAGAAGCAAGGTCCTGGTCCGGCAAAGCACTGCAGATGCAGCGGTCAATTGTCCAGAGGAGAAGGAGGAAAAGAAAGGAGGCCGCAGAAATCTGCCGAAACAGCTCTCTATGGACCCAAGCATTCTTGCTTGTCCACAGTCAATGTATGTGGAGAGTGCCATACCACTTTCTTTGGATCCAATACTTCCAGGCTCTGTTAGGGCAGCAGAACCAGAGACATTTGATTTGACTGCTCTGCCCTCTAGAGCTAAACCAGAAACAGAGCTAGAGCCATCAGACAATGCAATTGTGAGTTCATCTGACATGGTTACTAATGAGCCAGTCACCAGTCATGGTACAGTGCCAATTTCCTCAGAAGCAGCCCTTGAGAGCCCACAGGATTCTGTGACAGTGGAACAACAAATGCCAGTCACTGCACAGCTAATAGCTACAGGCCCAGCTAATGAGTCCTATTCTGATACTGAACCATCTCACCCTGGTGACATGAAATCCACAGACTCAGAACTAATTAAAAGTGATAAGATACAGATACCACATCCGGTTCCTGTAGTTACTGTGTCTCCACCTGAGGAACGTGATTGTGACATCATGTCAGATTCAGAGTCTCCGGATCCTATCACCGTGGAAGAACTAGATCCAGTGTCTCAAGAACCTGCTGCTGTGTCTTTACCATATTCAGGATTAGATGATCCAGATCCTGCAGACCCAACAGAATTAGAATCAAAACCATCAGACTTACCAATAGTGTCCTCATCTAACCCTGTTAGTCGAGGCCCATTCTCGGTCTGTGTCTCACCCATACTTGATCTTGATACTGCTACATCATGTAATTTAGAGACTGACATCATATGTCCATCCATTGTGGTGTCAGAGTACCTTGACACAGATTCTCCTACAAGTCCAACTGATAGTGACACAAATCCAGAGCCCATTATCACCTTTCCAGATGATCCTTCTGACCCTCCCCCAGAGCAAATGACATCGGCCTCAGCCTTTGCTTCCACTTTAGTAGAAACTCAACCCGACACTGACCCAGAAGACTCAGAGTGGCCACCGCTTCCTGAACCACTTGATACCACCCCTATATATCATGCCGATCTGGTCCACTTTGATTTAGTCATGCTGACTTCCTTTGATGAAGATGATCTTGACTCTGTGTTTATGGACCCTGAACCAGATCCGTTTGACCTGAGTGTTGACTCTCCATCTATGACAGAGGATTTAGATCCACCCCTCTACCAATCAGATAGTTCAAGTTCATCCCTACCCACTGTTGACCCTGCCACAGTGTGCCCCTTGGATCCTTCACTGTCAACAGAATCTGTCTGTTTGGATCCAGCTATTGAGTATCGCTTAGCTCACATGCTTCAGGATGTAGCCTCAGAATTACACAAGGTCCCACTACCACAGGTCACTGTCACAATATCCCCTCCGAGTTCAGTATCTCCTGATACATCATTGGAAATAGACTTTGGACCCACAAGTCCAGCCCCAGATCCCCTTCCACCAGATACAGATTCATCACCACCAGATCTCCAAGACATACCCTCAGTGGATCTTGCACCCATGGAGCCAGATGATATGATTGCAGAAACACTGGAATGTATGGCTGAATCCCAGGAGTATGGGGAACTTGTGGAAGAAGAGATCCCAGGTAGTCCGGAGAGCTCCTCAAGCGAGCAGGCCTTTCTGTGGTACAGGTGGCAAAGGAGGGGCCAGCAACTAAAAAATATGCACAGGAGTAACAGCGTGGAACTCTGGAGCGGGAGATACGAGTACAACAGTGCAGAAATCACATACGTGTCTCTCACTCTGTGAGCTCATACCTCATTCTCAGCAGACAAAATGTAGCTCAAAGTATATTTATAGCTCACGGTTTATAGCTGCCAGTACGCTGGAGTGCACCGTGCAGATCTAAATGCCATGTGAGCATTGGCATTCAAAGCAAGGACTTCCTTATACACAAACCTGCAGTAATATCCCATGAAAAAAGACTGCATTTGTAGCAGCAGAAAAAAAAAAACAGGTGATTGCACCATACTGCAAGAATGCGATGAACCCTTGGCGGTGATGAATTAACTGAACAACCCTGCTTTAAAGACATTTATTGAAAGCAGTATGAATTTTTCTGAAGCTGTTGTCACCACTGATGTGAATTATCTTCCAGGACAGTACTGCCTTTTTAATCATTGGATACACTAATAATGAATGTTCTTGTTCTGTCAGTGAATTACATCAAAGACATTTGACACATCTATTTTAAGAGACTCTTTTGGAGCTCTGTTATAGACTACAAGATGGCCTAATGTATACAAGGTCCTGACAACCCTTGCAATGATGATGGAAACTTTCCTTCCCTGTACTTATTTGTGAGCTCTCTGTTTATTGTCACTCTAGAGTGGAGTGAAGTAAATCTTCGCAGTTATCATATAACTATGAAAGCATACTGTTTACTATGTGAGCTGTTGGATGGACTCTGCGGGTATGAAGAAAAAGGGTGTGATGCTGTGGAATGATGTTTTGCACAAGCCTCGACTGAGCTGGAATATTGTACTGTTAACAGAAAATAGAAAGTAACTCCCATTATTTAAATTCACGCTCAAATATGATGAACCAGTACAGTTATGGTATGTAGCCTCTTTGTCCACGCAACCTCATGTTACACAAATGCGCATAGACTTTGCTGCCAAACATACAGCATATATACACACACAACGTTGCTGGACAATAAGTATAAGGGTAAATGTATCGAGAAAATACACAAAATCAATTTAATTTGTCTGCTAATCTGACTATAGTAATAACAGGCCTTGTTGAGAGGTGATTTTTTAAATGTAAGATATCATGTCAATGCTCAGGAATCAAAGACTAAGAATTTAGTACTGGGACATAAGTGTAATGACATGTTGAATTGTGCTCCTTCCTGAAAAGAGGTGTACAAAATATGATATAACGTGTGTGATACTGAATGATGAAAATGATGTAATGGTGCATGACAGATGGCCTCAATATATTTTGTGCATTTCATATACAGTGCCTCATTGTATTTGGTTCTGTTCATTGTTTCATTTTGATATTCCGTGCAATGAAAGGAGCCTACATACCGCAGAATACGCAGACTTCTGCGACCAGCAATGAACGACTAAAGAGCCAGGCAAATCACAAGATACATCTGTGCTATCTGTCCAATTAACGGGCTCTATATGGAATCGCCCACTGAAGTCTGTGCTCTAATAAAGTGTGCTGGAACAAAAAGAGTCTTTCAGCTGAACATCAGTGAGCTGCCAGAACTGTGTGTTGTCTCCAATTGAATATGTGCAGAGCACTTTATGGAAGTTTTGCTAAATTGACTGACTCTGAAAGGTTTTCAAAGGGGTTGGTAGTTAATTAGGATGTATTGTTGTATTCTTTTTGCTCATTTCACCGGCATCAAAGGCACCACCCTATTCCTCCCTGGACCCCTTCCATGGTTAACTTTTCATTTGCGACATATTTGTCTCAAAGTAGCACATAGTTGACCCTGTACTGCAGTGTTTATTCATAAGATATAATCCAAATATAAACTGTTTCAGGACAGTCATGCGTTAAGATCTATGCGTATAATAACTTTGTAACCGAGGCAATGATGCTGATGAGTAGCTGTGAAATGTCTGCTTAAGAAGGTATATTTAGCAGAAAAAAACATGCTTGCTGTCTCTGTGTTTCCTAGAACACAAGATTTACATTATATTATTTCAAAGGCGTTACAAGGAAACCAATAACCTCAGTGGCCTGCCAGAAGAGTGAACTGCTCTATTGCAGTTCACATAATTGTTTTGATTGCTTTCCGCATACATCTACTTTCCTTTATTGTGAATGTCATACAGATTAAGGGGAGTGTAATTGCAGAAACATTCTCCAATTCCAAGGTTAAATTGGGATCGTGATCTTGCACCTCAACAAGCACTTGCCACATAATACATTCAAAATGCTACGTTCATAAAAACAGAAATGAAAATGCATTCTTACCCGATTACAAGTAAAAAAAAATGTATACTGGTATCAAGAACACATCAGCAAAATGACATTACATTTTCAAGAAATAATCTCCACTCATCCCAGACTGGTAAAAAAAATCAATTGATCCCTGGTTTGTATGGATCACACAAGACCAACATCTGCCACTGTACTGCTACACCATGGGAGTACACTAGACCTTGACGGGCGTCAGCTTTCATTTCATTAAACGTGCTCTTTGGAATCTATGTTCTATATTTGGTCATCTTGTAAGAGTGTAGCAGTTTCCGGTCAGTGGTAAGACCATGTCGGGAGGTGATGTGTTACACCAACCTCAATAAAAAAAAAGAAAGTCTCTCCGCATCTATCTGAAAATGGTCTACAATAAACATCAGATATGTATAATAAGTAAACATTCAAAGATGAAGAAAAGTAGCAATTGTGTGAGTGCTGGTTACTTAATGTCCACTCTGCGTATCTTTTGTGTAGTGGATAGATTGTACTTTATGTTTGGGCAGAAATGCCCACTTTTCTGAATACCCACCCCACTCCCTTGTTTTCAGGGATCCAGTTCTGCCTCCCCTCCACCTGCAGCATTGATCGGACTCCCCAACAAACCCCAGGTAATCCTGCCACCTGGGGCATCCTCCATTGCTCCGCTTCAATGCCAGAGATTTCAATGAAACTTCGAGTTGTCCTCGAGCAAGTTGCTGTTAAGCACATGTTGAAATAATGTTTATGCAATTGCTCACACGTTTAATGAACTACGAGTCACCATGCAGCGAGCAAGCGGCGATATTCTAACTAGCAATTAGGAGTTTATTGAATACAAAATGAGTCATTCACGCGACAACATCTTTTTTCATGAAGCACTTGACTCCATAGCAGCTAGATTGACTGGAGGACGCAGTTGCTCCGCTACACCTGTACTACGCCTTCCCGAAACAATCCTCCTCCTTTTGTTTAACTCTGTAGCCATGACGGAGCGTTTTCTTCGCTGTCGCTTGACATATTATTTATGATAGCGCCACTTACCGAAACCTGCCTGAAACGTCTCTCCATCTCAAAGTGTGCGATATCACACGAGCGCGCACACACCAGCATGTTTCCATTATTCAATGACCCATCTAGTGGACGAGAAGCTGATTTGTTTTCATGCAGGGTGAGGTTAAGAGCCCAGTGGCATGCATCTAACTGGTGACATGCAGATGTGTCACCGGGACCAGGAGCAGGAGAGCTACTTGAAGACGGCCTCTGCAGTGTGACTTGATCTGAGGCATTATAGGCCAAACAAAGGAACGTCCTTGATCCGCAGATCGATAGAATCTCTCTGTGAAATGTCTCTATTTGCTGCTCAAGGGTTGTTTTCTTTGTTGCAAAAAGTGTTCCTGTTCTCGGCGTTTCATCACAATCTTTAAACTTTTGCAAACCATCCAGGGTCGGTTAAGCGAGTTGGAGTAAAGACTCTGTGTCTGTTTTTTTTTGTTATCTATAGTTAGCAATTTTTTACAACAATGTCTTTATTGTCTGCAACACTCACAGTGCCAATAACGGAGTTGGCCATCGCTCTTCCTCTCCCTCCCTCGACCCAAGATCATTTCCATATCCTTAAAAGCCTGCTGCAAAACAAACTGCTGCATTTCCTTTACAGTGATGAATCCAACGGGGAAGAAAGACTCTTAACGACGTGTCACTCAGCTCCCCCCTACCCCACCCCCATGTTAGCATACAAGCCAGTCCTGATAAATAGAGAGGTCCTACAGAGATGGAGTGGTTAAATCACTGCCTTTGTGTCTCACGTTAATCAAACTCACTGGCACACTGGTAGTTATTTGTACTTGTACTGTGTGTGTGTGTGTGTGTGTGTGTGTGTGTGTGTGTGTGTGTGTGAGAGAGAGAGAGAGAGAGATTAAATGGAGTATTCACAATGAATACATAATACATTAAGCAGCTTCTAACGATGCCGCTGTTGTTGACGTACCTCTTTTAAACTGTACTCACCATACCTACTGTTTCCTAAAACCTGGTATACAAGGAAACATGTTGCTATCATGGAGATGTTTATAGAGGCATATTGACAATTGTTTAGACGCTAAATGGCTTTAGATCCAAACTAGTGTTTATATATTTAATGCATGCTACATAATAAGTTATTCTGTGGTTGCCTCGGTGCGTACAGTACACCAGAAAACAGTTCCTAAATGTTGGTGCGCTACCTTGTCCTTAGCTTTCCACATGCGTCAGTTTTAGGCCATTTGATTCAGCACAAAGTTGTTTAGGAATATGCTCCATATTAAGCACTCGCTCAAACATATGAATTGACACTCCCCAAGGGGGGAAGTTATCATCACTCCCCACTTCTTGCTTTGTAGAGCTTGGTGTTTCCTTGTGGGGAGTGGCCAGGTCGGAGTCTAGACGCCAATAATTGAAGCTGTTCATATTCTACATTCACACTATCTACTCCAGTTTTCTTTTTTATTTCTTCCGTGTCCAAAATCTGACCATCTTTTACTTGACATGCTTTACTGCCTGAATATATCTTGATAGCCATGCTTGCTCGGCCATTGTTCCTTCACAAATGAATCTGATAAATCTAATTAATTCAACTTTGGATGCACCCTGCATTCCCCCCCATTAGCCTTGCAGTGGATTTCCCGAATGGTTTGAGAACCGCTGATAAAAGCCAAAGTAAAATCTGAAAACAAGACAGGGCCACAAGATTAGGTAACGCAGGACGCGCCTTGATATTGTGGGGCAAATTCCTTGCCAAAAAATCTGCAATTAATTGAATTACTGTCAGCACAACCACACTGAACTGCAGTTGCCTCATTGTTAATCCAGCTGTGGTTGTTCAGTACTTTGACTGAAGAAATAGTCAACATGATGTTCAATATGTTTATTGCAATTGATGAGCTTCGTTTGTGAGCACCTCTCGTGCTTATGAGAGTCTGCACACCGCTTTGTTTTCACATTTTTTGTACAATTATAGTGAATCATTTTGTTGATGTGCACACTTTTACTGCGTGCGAGTGTGCACGGGCTGTGTTGACTTCAGATGAAATCTTTAAATGCTGAGTAACGCTGCCACTGCCAAGATGGGAGCAGGAATTATGACTCCCCTTTGCACGACTGGCTGGCTAATAATGGCTCTATTTTGGTCCTCCTGCTGAATCATGAACCCTGAATTGGTCATCTCTTTCCTACTTTTTTCTCTCCTCGCTCCCTGATTTATCTTCCACTCTCTATCTCTCACACACACACACACACACACACCCTATCTCTCACCCTCTCATCCTGTCGGCACGGATCCACTCTCCTCTTGTCCCCCCTCTCACCTCTACATCTCTATTTTCTATCTTACTTGTTCTCCTCTAATGCATCTCTTCAGCCATGAGAAGTTAATTTTGTGAATGGACAGCAGCATGAGTCATGAAGCCCCCGGAGCACAACACTCTTCATAGACCAGACATCTAGCTATTTATAAACACAACCAAAGTCTGAATGAGAAAGAGGCCAAAAGGTGTGGCAGGCTCGAGGTAAATATAGCCCTGGGTTTGTATTCTCACCACAAATGATGCTCTTTGTAAAAAGGGTTGCAAACTAGAAGAAAACCTTTGTTTCAGACAACAGTGTGTTCAGGCTACAATGTAATTAGGCTGAAATGCTATCAATTCTCCAGCACAACTTTTGGGATTCTGAGTTATGGGGGCGCAGCTCATTAGAACTCAAAATAGATCACATTTCGGTCTCATAAGGACTTCCTTAATTGCTTTGTGTGATGTAAGCATTTGTGAGACAGAAACAGAAACACAGAGTTCAAGCCGGTTTACCTCTTTTGTCAAGGAAAACGATAACCCATAACTTAACCTGCAGCGTGACTCGGTGTTCTTCCTCTTCGCCTTATCTCTTTCTTCTGTTGTTTTGCTCTGAGGTACCTGGCACACTCTCAGCTTTGATCAAAACGCACCGAGCACAGCTTGTGCTTGAGATTCTTCAGCCCGTAACCACACTGACTGAGCTTTTCCCTCTAAAAGCCTCGTTTGAAAATATAGACATGTCAAGCTTAGCAGGCATTCGTGACCCATTCCTCAAGTCCATCTCTCTGTGGATTAAGTCCACGTTCTCATTTGCACTTGAAAGAAGTAATCCCCCCCCTCTTTCTGTCATGAAATGGACGGAATAAGAAGATGAGAGCTGTCAGGCTTCTTTGAGCAGTATCTCCTCACCTGGATCCTCCACACATGAGTACTCTTGATTACTTCTCTGTTTGTTTTTTTACCGTCATCCGTGTCTGATGAGTGTCTCGTGTCACAGAGGCTTTGGAGTTCTCTGTTACTCCATCGACTTATTCATTATTCCCCAAAAATATTTATTCAGAGCTTTTAAACGTTGCCCACATTTCCAACCGTCCCCTCCCTTATCTGAGTGCTGAAGGAGGAGGGGACCAAGAGGCAAACTAACCCTCTCTTTTACAAAACTACATTGTGAAACTTATTTGAAAGCAAATGTAATCCACAACAAAATACGTAACTCACGACGCAGGTTTTGTTGCATGGGAACGTAACCGTGCCTCTTGAACAGAAGGTACTCACTCAGCCATGGAGCTTTGGATCGATAAGATGATCAGCAGTTTGCCATGAATTATGCTGAGGCATATTTAGTGACCAGCTATATTTGATCAAGTTGTGAAACAAATGGTGTTGCTGCCTAATTTCCCATCATAGTTGCCATGATATATTAGCTCGCCACGTATGCTAATGAGGTCGTCAGGTAATGAAAGCGAGTTAATTAAATTTAATCGCTAATACACTGGAAAGTACTTTATTTTAATGGCTTGTTGTCATATCACAAATATGTGGTGCCTGCATGATGTCTCTGCCATATACTGATCTTGGGAGGAGTGTGTAGATTCACACACACACACACGTCCATGTTGCAGTGAAATGAATATTTGGACAAAAAACGTGCCCAGAACCGTCTGGTAAGACCCAGTAGCTTAATCATGTGATGGCCTGTTAAATACGTATCAAGACAATTTAATAAACATAGAATTTATGAAGGATGAAACACCAGAGAGAATATTTATGATTTAGTAACCTTCTGTGCATGGTTGGGCATTTACTTCACTTTTCCTCCTTTACAGGAGATACTCTGGTTTTAAGTAGAATCATTGTTTTTAATTGCTGAATGTTTTTACAGGATGAACTTTATTACATTCTTAAATCATGAAAACTTAACAAAATGATATTTTCTTGAGCTGTAGTAACTTTGAAATAACGGCCATTAAACTTACACAGTACATATAAAGTCCCATAATGGCAGTGACCTGATAATATAAATGCAGCATTTTAATATTTTTTATATTATTATAAATTCACTTTTTTTCACCTCTTCCAGCCATCACCTACACACCCAACTACAAGAAGGCCCCTCCTCCAGTCCCGCCCCGTACCACTTCCAAACCCCTCATCTCTATCACGGCCCAGAGCAGCACCGAGTCCACCCAGGACGCCTACCATGAGGGGAGGCACCCTCATGGCGGGATGTGGGCCCCCGACGGCCTCAGCCTGGGCCTGAACCCAGGGAGGGCCCTTTATAACTCCACCGACAGCCTGGACAGCGCCAAGGCTGTGACCATAGCCATGGAGGCCGCCGGAGTCATGGCTGGAAAAAGACACCCGTCCACAGACAGCCACAGCTCGGTGCTCACCTGCGACAAGGCCATCCTGGTGTCGAAAGCCGAGGAGTACTTGAAGACCCCTCGATCCTCTATAGGGATACAGGTTAGTCTGGTCTGAGAGTGTGAATAATGAGAAGATCTGACATGGAACCTATGCATGACTGCATAATAATACAGACTACTCAAACACACACACACACACACACACACACATAAATTCAACTCGGAAACAATGTTCTCTTTTCAGCAGCTAAAAATAGCAAGAGTGAGTCATCTTACCGCAATCCATCCATTAAGATTCACCTCATGCTGGAGCAGGTTGTAGTGAATGAAGTTCACTCCATGGTTCATTCACTCCTCCATTTACTATACCTGTTTCTCTTTCTCTCCAACCTCACGCTCCCTCTCTCCTTCTCTCTCTTTCTTTCCCCTCTTTCTCTTTGTCTCTCGCTCTCTCCACCTCCCACTCTGTGTGATCTTAATCTTGGCTTTGTCTGCCTCATTCTCTGATACAAGCTGAGGTCCTGGTGTTGTTGATCTCCAGTCGCAGTCTAAAGGTTGCACAACAAAGGCTGAGGAATCAGTGTCAGCTCACACCATCACCTCAGGGCCAGTTATGGTATTTCATCAAAGCAGACTATCAAAGGTATTGTGTGAATTTCAGATTTTCAAAGCCATTGTTGGCATCTGCTCTTGCTCTGTGCATAGTTAGTGGTAGTTTTCCTGTTTCTTTCTGTTTTCTTCTTGGTCTCAGCCACTAAATTATCTTTATCGTCATTATTTCCCCTCGTCAGCGTCTACATTCATTAATCACTCCCTCGTGTACTCATTAATTAAAGCTATTTACTCAAAGTCCGGGACAAAGTTAAACCTTTCAAATATTTCAAGGGAGAAAAGCCGACCACTTCATTAATCTCATGCTGTAGGTGTTTCAATGTCATTGGGCGATGTTCAACTTTTTTTGTGCAAATAACTCAAGCACACCTTTAAGGGTAATTGCTGTGTTTTCTTTTCGGTTTTTTTTCCGAGGTGATATTAAGAAGAGATGGCTGGAGATTGGCCTAACACCCAAATTACAAACAGGCCGTTGACTGTCAGATGTTGCCATCGGGGAGTCAGCCAGAGAATAAATAATCCCTTCAAAGTCAATTGATCCTGCTACACTCGCTGCGTTGTATCACATCCAAAGTTAGAGAATACCCAGCAGCAAGTTTTGCCCACACATTACATTTCACTGTAATGTGTAAATGGGAGCAATTCAAAATAGCCTCCAACACATTACTTCTAGCAGCCTATTAAAGTGATGTACTGTAATTTACATGAGAAACCTCCACCGCAGATTTTTAGACTTTAACTTGACTGACCAAAGTTACTTTATTACAGTTTTCAAGTCCGTGTGGGGAAAACAGAAAAATGGTTTGGTAAAAATCGAACACTACAGGGGGCACTACGGAGCCTGGACATATTTTCACACCTTAGAAATCTGCATTTTATGTCTGAGTAATATTTGAATGGGCCTCTTGGTCGCTAGATTCAAACTTTTCATTTGCATTTGTACTCTGGCCATCCTCGTTAAAGCTGTGAAAATGATTTGTGTGTTGGACCAAATCCAACATTTAACTGATACCAAAACTGATATGTTTAAAATAAGCCCAGAATAGACCCCCCCCAAAAAAGCTGGTTTCTCACAACAGAGCCTGAATCTGAGCCGTCATCATTAATCACCAATACATGTACAGATGCCAGCCTTGTTTCACAAATATAGTCGGGAGTTAGGGGAGAAATCAGTTGAATGCAGGTTTCACAGTAACCAGGTTCCAGTAATTACCTGCCTCGTGTAAAACATCTTGATTCACTCACATGCAAAACATTGTTCCATCTCACATTCATTCATTTGCTCACTCAGGCCCCAAAGTGTTCATTCCATGACTCATTTATTGATTGTATGACTTCCTCACTCACTCACTCACTCATTCAGTGTCTTAGTCGCCGCATCACTCACTCAAAGAGCAGGTGACTTTCTCGTTCTCTCAGAAACCAAATGACCTCATACACCTACAGTTTCAGGGCACCTCACCACACTGATGGGTGCTAATTTCAAACAGCAGAACTGCAACACGAAAAAACCTCATTGTCATGCTTCAGCGAATTTGGGCTACACGCAATGGTTGCACCACCTCTCCAAAATCAACCGGCATGCAGCTCTAATTCAGTTAATTCATTACGAACTGAGGGGAATACAAATCAAACGTGTGAGCGTGGGTGAGATAACTATAGGGGACAGTGTTTATCCTCACCTTTACGAGGACGTGAACGTGAATTAAAGGAACGAGTAGCAAGGGAGCAAGTAAATGTGTTTGTATGCGTGTGCATGTGAGCGACGGGGAATTATATTGGCTTTAAAATGGGCTCCAGTGATGTGTGTGGAGTCCATAATCACTTTTAATTACCAAGGCAGGTGCAGTAAACGTCTACATTTACAGAAACATCCAAGAGGGACAGAAATGTAGAGTGGGCAGCTTTTACATCACAGTTTTAGGGAGTTCACATTGAGGAGACAGGTCATATCTCTTTTGTGAATTTTGGCATTTTATCAACCTGGTGGAGGTCAATTTATTTAATTTTGACTTGTTTTAGATCAACAAAAATAAATGTATTTATAGTTTATTCATTTTACACCAGACTTGTATTCCTGGCTTCATGGTGTGGGCTTTAAGAGAGCATTCAGAGAGAGCATGTTGGGAAATAATACAGTAATGCTTTACTTAACTGGGCCAAATTTCCCAGGATGTTTTCTAAATTTTGCTATTCTGATTCTAATTCCGAGTTCGTTATTTCAAATTTAATTTGGTTAGTTGAGTTCATAAGCAGTCGTTGATTTTTAGAGAATTTCCATGAGAGAACTGCTCCAATTATATGCACCAAGAAACATTTCGTTGCTACCTCAATGAACAGCAAAAGAATATCCAAATTACAAAAGTTTGAGACTTTCTGAGTGTGTGGAGTGGGGGTGTGAGCTGCTCTCTATCACTACGACATTGTTGTCTGCCAGTTTAGATGAGATGACAATAATGTGTCGCAGCAGGCAACTCGAGGGGCAAGTATTGATTTATCTATAATGCAGACAACTTTGTCCTGCATCGGCATAATATCACAGTCTGCTTTCACCTACTACTGACTGTATAATTAACCTCAATTAGTCACTGTATCGATTTGCCATTTCCTGTTTGACACCTCTAGACAGGGTCAACGTATCTTTGATCTTTGATCTTTTTCCATGCGGACGTGTTGTTGTCTGACTTCCTGTTGTCCTTCAGGACCACTCTATAGGTGCCTTGGATGCACATTAGCTGAGACATGTTTGTGTTCTAGAATACTAATTGATGTATTTACAGAAATAGTTTTAATTGGAGCCGTAATGACGTAGTTCGACGGGGGAAGTCGGAGCTTTTAACCTTAAGCACAGTTATTGGCTGGGAAATGTCACCAGGTGGTGTTTGTGTGTTTCGGATGAAAGGCACAGTGGCTCTGTTCAACTTTGTGCTGATGCTCACAGTTTCCACACCTGTGCTGACGATGTGCCTGTAATTACTGATGCAGGGTGTGTGTGTGTGTGTGTGTGTGTGTGTGTGTGTGTGTGTGTGTGTGTGTGTGTGTGTGCGCGCACACCGGCGTATCTCTATGTAGGTACACCAAGACATCTTCAGGGTAGGTAAACCTGCTGGACATAAATCTCCAGCCTCTCTAAAGCCTCCTGGACGTTTTGTCCTCCTTCAGTCCTCATCCATCACAGACATGAAACTCATTCTCTTTTCATGAGGTGGACTTTGCGCTGCTTCTAACACAAAGCAGTGGAGGTCACCTCAGCGAGCAGCTCCACACACATTTCATCCCTGCTAACGGCTTCAGCCAAACGGCCTGATGGTATACAAAATGGCTCTCCAAAAATGTCACTCCCAAGCTCCAATACTAACCACTCTACGCTAACGGCAGGGTTGACATTTCCTCACAACAGAGGCATGCCCTATTGCGAACCAGCGCCTTTGACTCACTCTCATTGTCATAATAGTACATCGAGCTGAAGATTTGTTAATGCCAGACCATCTAAAGGCCTCATTGATATTTGCGGTGGAGAAGGCAGAGATGATGCTCTTCTTAGTACAGGAATATACTCAGATTTATCTTTCAGCCACTCGAGCAGCTCATCGAGTCATTTCTTCGGCTAACATTTGCTAATTAGCACCAAACACAGAGTACATCTGAGGCTGATGGGAATCTTTGGCCATAAACCAAGATATTGAACAGCAGCTGTACATCTCTCTCATTACCCGGCCGGGCTGGGCAACATATTGATAATATGTCAATCTCATGATATGAGAGCAGATATCGTCAATAATATGGCGTACGTGTTGTCTTTTCCTGCTTTTAAAGGCTGCATTACAGTAAAGTGATTTTCTGAACATCGAGACTGTTCTAGCTGTTCTATTATTTGCCTTTAACCACTTAGTCATCATATCCACATTAATGATTATTTATCAAAAATATCATTTTGGAAATATTTTTGTAAAAGCACCTATGTCAACTCAATATGGTTGCAATATATCGATATTGAGGTATTTGGTCAAAAATATCGCGACATCTGATTTTCTCTTAATCGACCCGGCCTAGAATTCAACCACTCTCTACCATTATATGTTATTTGCAGACCCTGTCTGGTACTCGCAGTAAAAAAGAAGCTCCGTGGGCACTGAAGAAGAAATACTGAAATGGCAAAAGAAATTGAAAAAAAAGGCTTAAGACAGCAAAATACAAGCTAAATATTGTGCCAGTAAGCCAGCAGAAAATTGTTAATGCTAGTCAAAGAGAGAAAGCAAAGAAATTAATCAGGGAAGAGACGAACAACTGGAGGAACCAGGAAGAAGTGACAGATACAAATAGATAGAGAAGCATAGCAGAAATGGTGAGCACTGACAGGGTTTCCATAAAGTCAGTAAGACATGGGGCTCCGGGGAGCGGTGCAGGCGGCGATGAAGAGGCTCTGGGCCCGGTCTCCTGGATCAGGATGGCAGCCATGCAGGGGCAGGCAGGATCATCATCAGTCACTCTTCCTTCCCATCCCATAATATCCACTAATGTTGCCCTATCTGTCACTGTGTGATCGCACAGCTGTGGATACTGTGGACAAAGACCAATCCATACTATCCAACTTTAAGTACGGAGCATTTTTCTTGGGGATTTTGCCATCAATTGAACAGTTGCCTATTTACACGTCCGGCAGACACGGAGCAACGTTAGCATTCATTTGAAGTCGTGTTTCTGGCCGCCTGATGAGTGTAAATCCAATATTCACTCTCCTTTTGGCTTTTGTTTGGTCCAAACCAACTTCTGAGCAACATATCTTGCTGTTCAGCTGCTAAATCATTTGCACTTTGATCACCAGCTGGTTCTCATGTTTGCTGCTGGGCAGGTAGAGTACAGCGGGTGTATCAGAGCTGTGTCACTAAAAGTACCGCCCGTGTTCAGAAAGGATGCTGATGAGAGTGGTGTGAGCGGACCAAACCAGTAATGTTGTGGGCTGTAAAAACCAAAACACTGAGCTGAAAGATGCTAAAAATTGTAAGATTTATAAAATATAAGATTATAGTACAACAAAATAATCCATACCTTCCTTTTTTTGCGTCCTCTACTGTGTATTTGATGTGATAAATCATATGAGCTGAATTCGAGAATCACATGGTGACATACTGAATGTGGTGATCATTTTCATCACCAAACTGAAGCAAGGCAACTGTTTAATAAGCCTAAATATTCTAAATACTAGAACTATGAACATTTATAACTAAAATGAGCTTTTTTTGGACATTACGTATTGTGCAATATAACATACAGCACGTTCTCCTTTTTTCTCATTTTTTTAGATTAACTTCCGTAGAAACCTAAACTCCTCTGCAGGAAACCTCTTCTGTCTCTGTTGCCTTTGCTGCCTCCATAAATCACACAGTGTTTACTTTCTGACAGGCTGTGTACAGTTAAGGTGCTCCGTCCAGTCCCGAACCAATAATCCCAGAGGCACTGGGGAATGGAAGCTCACATAATGAGAAGCACTGTTGGTTTGTATCATTTCTTCACATTAGGTGGAAGCAGCCACAGACTCTGAGTCTGAAAGCAAAGGTTTGCGGGAGTACCACTCTGTTGGGATCCAGGTGGAGGACAACAAGAAAGGGTGAGATAATGGTTCTGGGATTTTAAGGTCATTAGAAGACCTCCATCTTTGATGTTTGCTCCCTGCCATTATTTGCCATTATGGTCTGTGGGTATACTGTATATGTGTGTGTGCATTCATCTTTGTCTTTCTACCTCAGACAAGGCAGGTTCAAACGCTCCAACAGCGTGACTGCAGGTGTGCAGGCTGACATGGAGCTGGAGGGCTTCCCTACCATGGAGGACAAGGGCCTGCAGTTCGGCGGGGGCTTCCAGCGTCACTCAGAGCCCACCACACCCACCCAGTACGGGGCGGTGCGAACCGTGCGCACCCAGGGGCTCTTCAGCTACCGCGAGGATTACCGTACCACCGCTGAACCCCCCAGCCCGAGGGAGACCACCAGCGAGACCAACTGGCAGCTGGAACCCCCCTCCCCGCGGGAGAACGTGGCCTCGTCGGGCGAGTCTGGCAGGGCATCCCCCTCCCTGAGGAGGGATGGGAGCTGGTTCATGCAACTGCTCCACACAGAGACCAAGAGGATTGAGGGCTGGTGTAAAGAGATGGAGGCAGAAGCTGAAGAGAATGACATGTCAGAGGACAGTGAGTGTTGTGCTGAAAGTTTCATGTTTGTCTGATTTGAGGCTGCTTCTGCACAGGCAGATTAAAAGATGGATTTTTATGCCTCCGCACCAGTTATCATGTTTTCGGGTCGTCCATCATACATACGGTCCATTCTCGTGAATCTCAGGAATACCCAGAAGGAATTTCCACAAATTTGGCATAAACATCCTCCTGAACTCAAGGATCAACTGTTTAGAATTGGGTGGTCAAAGGTCAAAGGTCACTGGAGCCTCACATCCGTTCTGTTCTCCTGATCGAGACATCTCGAGAACACAATCAGCGAATTCCTTCAAATTTGACCAAAAAGTCCACTTGCACTCTTGTGAAAATGATTCGAATTTGGTGGTCAAAGTTGAAAGGTCACTATGACCTCACAAAACAAGAATTCATATGCTTATTGTGCTGATTTCACAAAAAAAAATTTAATAGGAAATAAATGATGAAGTGATGACATTTTGGACATACATGGATGTACACTGCAACGTGACTAGTTGGCGGAGGCGTACAACCACGACGCAGTGATTCTAGTTTTTAATATACTGCACTGTGTTGTTCTTGATATGTTGTGTTTGTGTGTTCCAGCCCTAGGTAAAATCCGAAGTGCAGTGGGAAGCGCTCAGCTGCTTATGTCCCAGAAATTCCAGCAATTCTACTGGCTGTGTCAGCAAAACCTGGTAAGAAACCCATCTAAGAGAGTTGATGTGTGTGTAAGTGTGTGTGTGTCCTTCATGCTCAAAATGACTGTATGTCAAGGGACTTATGTGATCACAGCTGATGACACTGAATCAGAGCTCCCTGAATATCACTGATTGGGGAAAGCTACAACACTGAGAATCAATAGCCATCAAGCACATTTATACGTGACCTGAAGGTTTTGAGAGGAACAATGCGTGAGCATGGATGGGCGTGGTGATGCAGCTTTGTCCTGAGAAGAGAAGAAGAGCTGAGCCAAACCTGGGTGGAAATAGACCTATACGTATTCAGCCACTCTATTGTTAATCCAGTGCAGGAACTACACACACAGGGTCAGAGATTTCTGCCTCGTATCTTTCTTGCACTGTTCACAACTCGTTTTATTGATCCGAGCAAGTACACAATATTTCAAACGAAGTTGGTGAGGAGTAATGAGAGAAAGTGTTGCTTGTTTTGCAATGTGCAGCAGAAACTGCTCATTCGGGGGAAGAAGGAGCCGCAAAGGGGATTAGATACAGTGAACCAGCCTTTTAGACCAAGTCAAGTAATATGTCCTGCTGGAGGACACTGTGCAGGTTTACAATGCAGGTTTACTGCATCATTTTCAAAAAGATGCAGCATTTCTCCACATGACATAAATATTTTCATATTTGATGCAACATTTACTTCATACTTTGGCTTAGTTTGTTAAATAAATGTCCCTCAAGTCAAATTTCTCTCTACCTGGATCAACTTTCTTAAAGCTTGATTTAAAAATGCTCTAAACGAGAGACAAACAGTGTTCTTCTCTGGGAGGAGATCCAGGATTAAGAGCTACACACTTCCACAGCCGGGGCTTAAAACTCACCGACTCCTCCTAAATCTGCCAGCTCTGGATATTTGAAGCCTTGAGACTTTTGAGCCAGTTTGCAGAACGTCACAAGTTCAGGGGTCAGAATAAAGCTAATGAAGTGCCGAGGCTTCCCCCTCGGTAATTGCAGATAACAGAAATACGCTCTGTTCCCTGCTTACCTTACATGATGGAGTGATTCTGGAGTCATTTAAAATTATTATTTCCTTTAGAAAGGAGAATTATACCCATCTCAAAATGTTATGACAATATCAAAGTGAAACGCCGGCTCTCTATTGGAATATTATGCAAATTTAGAGGATTTGAGTCAGATCAAAAGATTTTTTTTTAAATAACCGTAAAGTTACTGTCAACTTTAATCTCAGTATCACTGACACAATAGTGATGCACAATTTGTCTTAAGTCATCTGATTCAATGAGTTGTAATTTAAGGAAAGAGCTGAATAAAAAGTATTTTCTTTCATATTTTCAGCTTGTTTATTGTGAAGCATTTAGCTTTTACAGGGTCATGGCGTCTCTCATTTCTTTGATATATTGTTTGTTAAAACAGGGTAGTACGACAGGATAACATGCAGGAAAAGCCACTATAAACAAAATTCTGAATAAATAAAATAAATAATAAGGAAATAACTCACCGATAAGTGTAGCATAGGAAATAGCAGGCACTGCCGCCGTACTGTAAATATATTATACCATCAGACAGCCGCACCCTTCAGCAGCCACCTAATCTAAATGTCATGAGATATGCGAGTGTGGGAATGTCTCTGTTACCGAGTCGACAGGTCCCATCATAGCTTAAATTGCAGAATCGGATGGCTTGAGACTAAATATAAATATGTGCAACCGCTTTACTCTCAATCAACCAGTGCAATCATGCTAGTTGTAAACAATATGCCACCTAGCTATTACCATTATGTCTGTGCATCCCATAGATATAGTCCCTTAGACACAAGCCATGAAATGCGTAATTATTTTGAAGTACAATTACAAGTAGGATTAGTTTATAATCAAAGTAATATGTGCATGAACAACATACAGTAGGTGCATAAACGGTGTAAATCTAAAAAATACTGAAGGACTGAAAGGTTCTATTGATGTTTATCTGGAACACATGAACAGCTTTATAATAAACAGGTTCCTCAGTGCTCCGTTGCTTTGGTCATAGTTAACTCATTCATGTGTTGAGGGTTGCCTCTTAAATGTCCACAGGCCACACAGAGAGCAAACACATGACCTTGATATTTTTCAGCGAACCGTTGTGTAAAAGGTTCTGAATACATGAAACAGTGTTGTTTTGTGAGACCATTGTTGAGTCAAGGCTGTCTGTCTCACCATAGATCAGTCCAGCATCAGCAAGAAGTTCTGTCCAGTTAACTCGTATTTCCAATTAAATTTTTACATTTGAATTTTGATAGACAGCGAATATTTTGGATTACAAATGCTTACACCTGACCTCGTTCTCAACATTGAAACTATGTGACCCATAAACTTTTGTTTCTTTGAGAGTACATTCACAGTCATACTTCACTCAATGTTCAGTGATTGTGATTGGATATGTATCAGAGTAAAGAAACAGCTGGTGTGTTTTATTTTCAAGCATCTCTGTTCATATCTACATCTGCAAGCAGAAACGATGACCTTTTTTTTGGCTTATGAATAATGAACATGGTGAACAGATGGGACTACATACAAAGCCCAAGCCTAACAGAACAAGTTAGAATACAATTACCTGTTTATCTTTTATTAACATCAAGTATTAGCACAGAATCTCATGACTCAACAAAACCTGCAGCAACTGCCAGCCGGTTGCAGAGACAATGAGGCGCTCCTCAGTCGTATGTTTCTTTCATGTCAGGAATTAAGTGATGAAAAGGACTGAACTGACAAAGGCTGATTATGGCTCATTCATGGAAATAAGACAGGATTGGTCTCCATCGCAAGTCGACATCCCTCGTTTCAACCAAAATCCCCAAAACTGGCATTCGTGAAGTCTGAAGTCTGATAAGGACATCTAGTGGCTCTAAGCTGAAGTACAATAACTGGTGTGCTCATGTCTCTTTTGTATGCGTATGTATGTACAGTACAGTGTGAATCTGTGTGCCAGCATTACAGTGCTTATTATCTGGAATACAGGCACTGAACCAACAATGTGGCTCTTCACTCAACGTCACCACCTCATGTTTTCTTTACCCCTCTTCCCTCGTAGGACCCCAGTGCCATGCCGCGGCCCACCTCTCAGGACCTGGCTGGGTTCTGGGACCTACTGCAGCTCTCCATCGATGATGTCACCATGAAGTTTGACCAGCTGCAGCAGATCAAGAACAACAACTGGAGGCCCGTAGACAGCCCGGAGAAGAAGGTGAGGGATCGCCTCGGCACTGTGAGTCCGAGGATATTACTGCGTCTTTACTTGCATGTATTTTGTATAATGATTCTGATAAAACCTCAAAGACTGAAACTGATCACTTTTCCACCTCCCGTATATTTCCATACAGTCCCTTAGCAAAAATCTTACTAAAGGACAGAAACAAAGACTGAACAGTTATTTGTCTTTGTGACAGAATCATGAAAAGTGTATTCATCGGACCAGAGTGTCTTCAGATCATCATTGAATACAACAAAATTCATAAATCACTGACATCATTAATTTCTATGTAGAACAGAAAAACAGATTTGTTTGTGATAAAGATCAAAGCATGCCAACAGGGCTGCATAAAAATCCTGGACGCTGCGTTTGTTCGTGTTTTTTTATCACTGTAGTCCCCAGTAAATTGTTGAAGTACTCATCAAAGCTGTACAAACACGCCTTAGTAATCCTCACTTTTTCCTAAAGCCACCAGCTCCTGTACCAAAGAAGACAATTCGACAGAGGAGTATGGTGACGAGGGAGAAATCCCTGGACCTCCCAGACAGGGGGCGGCAGGAGGCCCGTCGGAGGCTCATGGCAGCCAAGCGGGCAGCCTCCTTCCGGCAGAACTCAGTCTCGGAGCGGGCAGACAGCATCGAGATCTATATTCCCGAGGCTCAGACTAGACTTTGAGAAGATAGGGTCCAGGGTCGACGCGTCTCCCTGCTTCCACGTTCAAACAACTTCAAAACTAGCCTTTTTTCTAGACTGCTACTCTCTGTACTCTTCCTTTATCCATCCGTTGTCTGATCTCGATCGCCATCCTCAGCGCCCATCGCCAAACACCATTGGTCTGTAGGATGTGCCGAGCCTCTTCTCCCATTGCCAGAATAAGTGTGAGCAGATATGTATGTCTGACATGGGTCGGTTGGGTTCCTCCTTGGTTTGCTGGTGATCATGATACCCAGCCTACAAGCTCTCTCATCCAATTCCCTGGATGGGTACGTCTGTAGTTTTTCAGCATTTGCAAAGTGCCATTAAAAAAGTGCAGCTTTGAAAACCTACCAGCAACCAGGCCTTTGAGCTAAAAAGAGTAAATGATAGAAACTATATTTATTTAAAGTTGTGCAAAAATGGTCAACGTTAGTAACCCTTCAGTATTTTTCAATAATTTAAGGTTACATTGTGACTCTTTTTGTTGTCTTTATGGGATAAATGTTAATTACAAGCAAAATATCACAAAATTGTCGTAAGTTCAAATATTTCGAAAAGTGCCAATGCTTGAAATACCTCAACTATGTGCATGTGGCACTGATCACCCATTCAAGGTTATTCAGGCAGCCCTTATAAGCTCTGGACTGGTCAGTGTTGAAAAATGCAGTTTTCTACTCAATCTGGTTGTAGTCAAACGTTGTTCTCGGTCTGGATTGTGGAAGAATGACATCGGTCAGCTCATTTACATGCACATTTTAAACAACTTTCCTATATAGCTCATGTTCCTGTTGCCAACTTTCAAATATTGACATTTACTTGAAGCTGAAAACATGCAAGTCTTGTGCCAACATTTTCACTGTGTCAATGCAGTAGTAAAAAACGATGAAGGTTTGTGTAACTCCTTAGATCAAAATGTGTAGACAAATGCACTTATGCACTTATTACAATTCTCTCTATTTCCAAGGGAAATGTACATACCCAAGTTCACAATAGTACTGTTGTATTTTTGAATTGTGAGCGGGAAGAATATTCATGGTGTACATTGTTTTCCCTCATGTCCACTTCTTGCCTGCCCTCTCTATTGCTTTTGACAAATTTAAGATTTGGTGCATACATACCGTGGCTCGATCACACACACACACACACACACACACACACACACACACACACACACACACCAAACCATGCTGCTGTGTTTTCATCTAATAAACTTCTCTCAGGCCCTTTCAAGTAGCGCCCTCAGCCACAGTTAATGAGGAGTGATAGAAAAACTGCCAAAACATAAACAACAAAATATCCGCATACTAGTTTCATTAATCCAAGAAATGATTTGTAATCTTCATATTTCTTGAAAAGTTCTGTGTTGTTGAAAGTCTCCTGAAGCAGTGTCTTAGAGTTGTTCACTCCCTCTAAAAAAAGGCGGGGAAATAATGACACTAAAGTAGGGCAAAGGCATTCCACAGGGATGCAACCAGCACGTCCCAAATAACTCAAACTTTGCAAGTTTGTTAAAAGGAAATACACGAGGAATAAGATATTAGCTCTCTGTGGCTATGCAGAGCTATGAGATATTTTGTCATAACATGATGTGCAGAGCGAGACATCATTTGCCTATGAATCCCGCAACAATGTTGAGATGTACCAATTGCACCAGCTCTTCATAAGTTTAGCTTTCTGATGACAACATGTTTAACGCTAAGTGGAGGTTTCTACATTAAATAGAAATGGGTCGACCACACATATAGATTCCGCAGATAAGTTGTCACAAAATACTCACACATACCACCAGCCAGGTGTAGCTGTTACCTAGCTAACTGATCCCACTGAAAAATATATATAGCAAGAGATTGAGGAGTTAAAGAGTTCATATGAAACATAGTTGACATGACGTCACGCTGGATCAAAATGTCTTTTAATAATGATGCAAACTGTGAAGATTTTAACTTGCATTTCATGAAAAGGACACAACACACCTTAAATTACATAGCGGTATGCTAATAACGTGCAGGCTAAATGGCCGTTAGCTTAATCAGCTATTTTGAACTCTTTTCAAAACTGCATGAATACTACCGCTAACCCTGAAACTCATGTTTCTAATTTGAATTACTAAACGCTTGCTGACACAAGTAGTACAGGTTTTTACGGTGCAACTCGATTTAGTAGCCTAAACAACTCATTTGAAAGAAGCCGGTAGATGCTAAGAATTTAGAAAAAGACTTCCCACACAAACTCAGTGAAGGATTTATGAAGAGCTGGTGCGACCCAATCATGTTACGTGATGTGAAAGGGAAAAAGCTAAAGTTATGGGGCCTTGTATAAGAGTCTCTAGTGGTTATAGAATTGACTTCCAGGTAGTTATAAAACACATTTCTCATATAGTTAACTCATCTTGAGCAAAAGCTAAAATTCTGCTGCTCTTTATCATCAAACTTTGGAGTCAGAAACTTCAGTCTTAATTGCATCGCTAATGTCATATTCAAATTACTGATCTAAGAACTGAAGTCTGTTGGTGAAAGTTTTGGGTAATCAACCAACTACACGGTGCTGCTTTTTATTTAAGGAATACAGTACTCAACAAACGATCAATGCAACAACATGTGCTGTCAGCTGATGAATACATCACATAAAAATCTATTTTTATGACTTTTTGATTGAGGGATTGTGCATTGTGTTCATTATGGGTAGGAGCTGGGAAGTTCATCATATGGCAGTAACGAGAAAGTACATTTGTGTTTGTAGTGCAGTGCTGACACATTCAGAAATGAGAGGGTGAATCTGGAATCCTTTTTTTTTTTTTGAATACCATACCATAGCATATAATTTACTTTTTGGTGCCAATTTTTTTTTTATCCATATGCAGGGGTCTTATGGAATTCTGTCTCTCAACCCACCGTGACTTCAAGTACAGATGTCTTTTGCTTTGATTTGTTTACAACCTTTCACGGGATCAGTATGCATGAGACATGGTTTAGTTTACATGAAGTCTTGTAGCAGAGCTCTGACAATACTTTCCAGAGAGCTGAGATGTATACTCAGTCTTACAAATCACCAAGTAACCAAACTCAGCGGGGACAGTGTTTCAAACATGCAGTGCAATACTTCAATTAAATATCTGGCTTTGAATAGCCCAAGGCTGAGTGTTAGATTACACTTTTCTTTAAAAGCACACCAATCTATAATGCTGCTGGGGGGTTTTCTTCATCGCAGAGGCAGGGACCTTTAACAGTATGACAGTGGGTTTCTGGAAAGCATCTGGTTGTGTGATGCCAGGCAGTTGGCAGAGCAGAGACGTTCCCCTGCTGTTGCCACAGCGGCAGGCAGACGGGAGAGAGACAGACTCGGCCTGACATATGCTGGCTTAGAGGAGACGAGAGCTCCGCGCTGAGCCCCAAACTGCTGGTGCTGTACGCTGTTGTGTAGCTGGAAGGCTGCTCTGTGACGATCGCTAGGCGCTGTGCTGGGTATTTTTCAGCCTGCCTTTGACTAAGCAAAGCAGCTTATGTAAGATTTCGGGTCCTTGGTGAGATCAAGCAAACAGCCTCCAAGGCCCTTCAAAGCTTGTGTTGATAAATGTATTGCTGAATAGTGGCCTGTACTGGAGAACTTAAGCCTCAGCGCCACACGTATTTATATCAATCTGTGCTCAGCTAGTTTCACTGAAGGCTGTATTTGAAACAACAGAGGGTTTTTTTTTCTTTATGCAAATTTTAGCTAGGTCAAGTCTCCCTTGTCTCCCAGTGAAGATATTTTCACAAAAAAAGTTTCTAACCTATTCCCTCATTTTGTCCAAATAGGTATGAACTCACATGAACAGCTGTGAGGGCCTCCTGTCACAATGTGACCTCGTCTTTCCTTGAAACTTACTCCGGTTGGTGTTTTATGTACGATCCCTCTGGTTGACGTGTGCTTGTGTGGCGTGCATGTGAGCACTGGAGGAATATAACGTGACTGATTCAACTGTGGTGAAGTTAGGGTAATTTAACAGCTAGTCACCCACCAAAACCTTGGAAACCCTAAGGGCAGACACATTGCACCATTGTCACATTTAATGTCATGAGGGCAGCAATTAACTACAAGTGCCATCTTTTCTGACTTATCCAGCATACTGTAAAATCATCTGCTCAGCCACATTATCCCCGTTTATGTGTAAACAAACCATTCCTGCCATCAACTTCCTTTCCCCATTTCCAATTACATCTTTCTGTTATTTCAGCTGGTATCTCGACATCCGTGGCCTCACCTCTGGTACGACTGTCTACTGTCTGCTTTTAACTCTATAGGACCCGTGATGTGAAATATTTCATGGGGACTTTTTTCGTAACCATGCCGTGAAGAGAGAGTCAGCCTCACTGAGACAGACTCGTACAACACTTCCTTGAACGTGGAATGTGAAACCACTCTATAATTACTAGATACAAATTTAAAAAAGGTAGTCGTTTAGCTAAAACTATTTTCATCTCTTGTATATCATATCTATAGTGAGGATGAATATAATGCCAAATATTCATTATTTGTAAAGAAATATATATAGATATATAAATATATAATATATGCTTCATTGAAACATGACTATTTTCTGCATTTGCTCATGTTTTTGTTGTCATTTTTTCTTTGTTACGGTTATTTTATAAGCTGATATGATGGCATGTGAAATATTGATTCTGAATGTAGGCTTATTTATTAATTTTAGAGAGTTAGAACTTATGCCACTGTCCCACTGATATGTTATGTATTTATTTAAGTCAATCACATAGGCATTTCTCAATGTGTGTTATTTCAGTGCAAGTTGCCGTTATCATTGGGTTATTTTTGTTTTTGTTTTATTTGAGTAGTTTGCAACCACATATGCATTTCCCTCCATTCTTTCCTAGCTGAGCTATTGAAAGACTTTTGCCTCTTTGAGTAGTTTGATCATTGCTGAGGTCATCCAGTGTAAATAGTTCTGCAATTAAATTTTTGAAGAAAACGTTTGGAAAGATGTGTCTGTGTGGTGCCTCTTTACTCAAACTGTGAACTAAGTTGTGCACTCATGCTACTGTGCCAATTAGAGTAAAAAATGTTCCAATTTGTGAAATATTTTACATAAAACTTGTTGAAGATGATTTCCTATTGTCAGACACCAAACTACATTATTCAGCCATCAGATGCTTGTCCCAATAACAGCAGTATTCCCGATGGTAGTATTTCAGGTTACAGGAGGAAACCTCAATGAATTTATCTAACTTTTCTTGACATTTCATGCATTTTAAATCTGTATAGCTCACCAAAGTAGGAATGAAATAAAGATGAAGAGCAGCTCTGAGTCATCCGTCAAAAAAAATGCTGCATTTATCTTTCACTGTTCTACTGAGTCGGGACAGTTATCTGTGTTTTGGAATATAATATCGCTTAAGATTGAAAGAAAAAAAAAGATGTATATCATTTCAAGGTGGAGTCAGTGGTTTTGGAGAAAGATTGTTGATATATGAACTCTACACCCAAACAAATACCCCCCTCCAGATGTACCGTCCCTCTCACTGCCTTTCTCTTTATACGTCCATGGCCTCTCCAATGCCCTGTGCACTAACGCCCTTCTGTTGCTGCTTGACTGGAATAGTGTTATGTAGTGTCGCATTTGCAGAGCCAGGGCAATGTATGAAAGCACACACATAGAGTGGACAGGTAGCTGTCTGTGTGAGGAGAAGTTTGCTGAACTTGACAAAAAAAGTGCATTGGATTAGAATTGCTGACAGCCCCTTTGATATTTATTTATTTTTCAGAGACACATCAAAATCAATCAGAGTTCACTCACCTTTGACTGTGATCCCTTAAAAAAAGAGCAAAATATTGAAAAGATCAGATCCTCCAGCTCAAAAACAACACTGGTCAAAGATCAGGATTAAGACAACACTGCGATTGAAATCTGATGTTTTGTCTGAGAGGAATTCTTACAGAAGATGCACATGAAAATGTGGCCTGAGTGGCGATATTGTTACAGTTTAAGACATGTGGAGAGTTGGTTGTGGATAGTCTTTGACAATGTATTTCATGATGATAACAGACAGGTTTAGGTTTTGATATTTTAATGTTAATCTGATTGAGGCCCATGACGAAACCACAGCAGGTTTCATGCTGTGTAGCTGTTTTGTTGGCAGCATTGTATAATTGGTGTAGCAGACAAATATTTTCTTGCAGATTTCCTTTTAGACCGCCTGTGTCCTATTATCATTGAGTACACGTTTTAAGAATGATATTCATCTACTTACACTTCTGCAGGTTGTAGGTGTGTCTGCATGAATATGATGCTGCAGTATTTCAGGACTGCACTCTTCTCAGGTGTAAGTCTTTATTAATGCAACGTTTTCACCTACACGGTCTTTAGTTTACGGGAGAGTCCGGAAGGTGGCAATCCTTAAAAAGTATGTTGTTTTTCAAAAATCCTACTGCTTTATGCTTTTTCTTTCAATTAAACTTCTGTTGGTTTTATATGTTCTTGTAGTTATTATGTTAATGTCATAAAAAACAGCCATTCACTTAACTAGGGTTAGGTAATTTCCATTAAGAACTTCATAGAACTCAAACCCTTTGCCCTCTCTCAATACATTTCAAATATACAAGGCAAGATCCCCCTCTGTTGGACAAAGAATGAAACTCATGGGTTGTTACAGTTGGATTTCACAGCACACATTTCTACCTTCACACATCACATCATATCAAGAAGTTCCTGGGCTCCACCAGCCTCTTGTGTGTGGAGCCTGCATGCTGTCCTTGTGTCTCTGTGGGTTTCCTCCAGCAGTTCTGTGGTTATCTGTCTGTGTGAATGTGTGTTATCACTCAGTGCATGAGAGGGTAAACTGCACTTCCTCCTGCAACCCTCCTACATAAAGTTTGGAAATTGAATCAAGATTTTATTGCACAACCTGTCATAATCAAATACTGCTGTGCTGTTACAACATTTTCGGTTCGATCCCCGGCTCCTCCAGTCCGTATATGTAAGATACTGAACGCCAAAAGGCTGAGCCATCAGTGTGCGAGTGTATGTGTGTCAATGAGCATTTAGATTAGATCCTGATGAGCAGCACCCTGTAGGGCAGCCCCTTCCATCAGTGAATTAATGTGTGTGTGAATGGGTGAATGTCGACATGCAGTGTAAAGCGCTTTGAGTGGTCGGAAGACAATAGAAAGTTGCTGTATAAGACCATTTATCCCCTTCAGTCCAGATCTATTGAAATGTCTCTTCATTTTCATTTTTGTTTTTACATTGCATTATGGTGGCTATTTTTAATTATAATGTCTGCAATATGTAGATGTTAACATTAACTATATGTAAAACATACATCCATATATATATCTGTGTTATTTACTGTGTGTCATAAAGTCAAACATAACATAGTTACAAATGTATACACCACTTTATGCATATAACCAATGAGCCAGGAAATAACCAATTGGATGGGGCGCTACAGCGGTATTGACCAATGGGATATCCGGAGGTTTGAAGTGGGCGTCACTTCCTGTTTGGGGCTCATATGATCAGATTGAAGTCTTGTGATGTGTCCTGCTGTGGACAGCACTTAAACACACAAAGCACCGGAACACCGTGTCCAGCAGAAGCGCCGCTGAATACGGTACGTATGACAATGATGTCCGCGCACTTGTTTGTGGCGACAAAACGAAAACTGCTTAACAGCAGACGTCTGAGCATTTCATCAGCTTGAGCCGGCTAACGTTACAGCTCGTTCGGTCGTTGTTGTGCTAACTTTACAGCACAGCTACTGTAGGTTAAGGCTGACTGACTCGGCGTGTTTGTGAAGGGCTTGAACGTAACAGTGTGGCTGAAACGGGTAACATGATACCTTGTACTTAGTATCGAACTAGTGAGCTTGTTTTTACCGACATGAGAGGTTCGCTCTCACCTTATGTTGCTTCAGGTCCAGACTCGAGATCTATTAAAACTTCTTTTTTTTTTGATGCATGTAACTTAAATTTGAGTGTTTTAGTGAATGGTGTCTTTCTTTCAGCAGGGTTGAGTTGTTCCGTAGGTGGCCTCACACACACACCATGCACCTACCAGCCCTTTGTCACAGTCCCACCTGCAGCTGAGCTCCGGTATTCTCCCTCACACAACATGGACCCCGAGCAACAGACCGTCCCTCTGCCCCAGCCCAGCGCGGACTACTTTTCGTGGGACTACCGCCTTCAGCTCATCGGCCTGGGCTTTGGCTTCTACGCGGGGATATTCCTCCTCTCCCACCTCCTGTCCGTGGCGCTGTCCCGCACCTACAGCTCCCTGATAGCCAAGGAGAAGGTTTTCTGGAACCTCGCCGCGACTCGCGCGGTGTTTGGCATCCAGAGCACCGCGGCCGGTCTCCGGGCCCTGACCGAGGAGGACTCTGCGTTAACCAGGGACCGAGTGAGAGGACAGGAAGACTGGTCGTGGTTCAACGTCCTCACAGCCACGGGGTTCTTCGTGTTTGAGAATGTAGCGCTCCACACCTCCAGTGTGGTGTTTCGGTCCTTTGACCTCCCGCTGGCGACGCACCATTTCTTCGCCCTGTCGGGGTTCGCGTCGGCGGTGGTTTGGGACTCCTCGGGCCACTTCCTGTCGATGGTGACGCTGCTGCTGGAGATGAGCACGCCATTCACCTGCATATCCTGGATGTTACTGAAGGTAGTGCGGGCTTTTTTTGGTGTATTGTGTGTTCAACTACCATAGAAATGACTGGAAGAGTCGCAAGGTTTTTAGTTCCTTTTTGGGTTTCGTGCACCTTCTGATTGTGCAGAGATAACATTCTTACAAAGAGGAAGTTCTATAAAAAGGATTGAGTCTGTACCTAAACTTTCTCTGTTCCTCCTGCTCACAGATGTGACTTAAGTTACAAGGATGTGCATTTTAAGGTATTTTAAGGTTTGTGTCCCAATGCTTCACATCATTCCTCTTTCCATCTTTCTTCCTCCCTGACAGGCCGGCTGGGCACGCACCCTGTTTTGGAGAGCCAACCAGTGGGTGATGATCCACTCGTTCCACTGTCGCATGGTGCTCACCTACTACATGTGGTGGGTGTCCCTGACCCACTGGGGAGAGCTCAGCACCCACGTGGCCCTTCCCACGCTCCTGATCTTCTTCATCGGCCTCGTCCTGCTCACGTTTATCATCAACCCCGTCTGGACGCACAAGAAGACCATGCAGCTGCTCAATCCGGTGGACTGGAACTTCACCGACAAGCCCGCCCCCCTAAACGGAGCCCCGGAGGGTCAGTCTGCGGTTCCTGTCAAACCCCACGCCAGCTGATGGGGAACTGAGGAAGACGTTTTTAATGAGAGCTTGTTACTTTTAGAGTGATAGAAGTACGATTGGTGTTTATTCTTTTATGAAGCGTTTTTATACACACGTTCCTTGAGTGAACTTTGCTATTCAGGAAAGCACTAACAGGAACTCTTGATCACGTTTGCCACATTGTCTTCCCTCAGGCTTAACTTGCAGATTGGTTTATTTTAGATTTTCCACCTGGTTAGCTTATCTTTTAATAGGTTTGGTTGCATCACCTTCGGTACACTGTGTTGTGAAATATCCAGTTTGCCAATCATGTCTTTGGTTATTTATTCACAACAAAATGCACGAGAAAGCGCTTCTTACAGGAGCCATTGAGCGCAAACCTGCAAATATAAAGTCCTGTTTATCAAAAAACAACAACAGAGGAGTCTTAATACTTTCCGATGCCACTCTAGATAGATACTTTATTAATCCCACAAGGGGAAATTATTTTGCTACCGCAGCATTTATAGGTACTCTACGCCAACAGTATTGAAAGGTAGGTGTGTGTGTGTGTGTGTGCGCGTGTGTGCGCGTGTGTGTTTTATGAGGGAGAGAGATGTTAAACTCTCTCAGTAGACATGGAACAGCCCTGTCACAGTGTGGCCTTTGTCTTACACAGGTCCAGTGGCACATTTATAACAGACGCTGTTGTTCAGCAGGAAAATTGGTTTACGTTTAAAGAAGGAGGTTCCATCGGTTAGTCATTGAAGCTATTACATACTTAAGTGCACAATTGGATCAGTCCACTCATGAGTCACATTGGTGTTTTTGGACTGTGGATCCTCTCTCAGCAGAGAGGGGAATGTTGACCGTGGTCCTGAAAGAAAAGGCCTTCAACACAATCGTCTTTATTTGTGGAAGAAGCTGCCGGACTGGTCCCGCTCCATAGAGGCTCCTTTGTTCAAAATGGAGATGTAATGTTGCATAACTGAAGCTGTTTACTGGTTAACCAAGGTATTTGTTAATCATGAGGATATTCTTTTGGTGTTGCTGTACGAGTCAAATTAAGTTTTATTTCTACATATGCAAAACTTAAATAATGGTTTTCACACAATGACCTCACTGTACTGGAAGCCTTGGTGTTGGGTGTGTCCATTGTTTTATATCTGAAGTTTTAGTTTCATTGTCACTCTGCTGAAAACTGCCCGAACCTGTTTCAGATTCTCACATTTTACAAACCGTGTTTTAGCTTCAACAGCATTGTAGCGCATATGTATGAGCCCTAGAATTTAGACATTTAATTTCGGTTTGAAGACATTGTTACCATTAGTATTGATCTAAAGTAGCTTGTTGAGGATATAAACCAACAGCCCGGGGGCTGACTCATCAACACTTTCCACATAACTTACCGCCGTTTTGCTTTTATGTACACCGTACAACCTCAGTGACCTAATCAACACAAATACGTTTGAAGCAAATGTATTTATAACATTTAAAGGTGTTTTCATCTTCCATTCATAAACAAGTATTTCTCCTCTAACTGTACATTTGAACACACTTTATTATTACTAATAAGAGAGGGTTTGATTTTCACTTTGGAATGAAGATCTAAGGTTTAACATGCTGTATGTTTTGGGAAATGCTTTAATATGGGTCTCAGAATAAAATGTTTGCTGTAATATACAGTATTGTGTCTTTTTGTTTTGTTCAGTCTGCAATGAAGCATCTGCCTGTAGGTGGCAGAATAAGAGTCATTAAGTGTGGCACTAGTTTTTCTTATTTGACCTGACATGCGTGAGTTTGACATGCTTTTACTGTCCAAATGTTACTGTCCATAAAAGACTAACGCGTCCATTTTTAACAGGTTGATGTTACAAAGTATACAAGTTGGTTTCAATTCATATTGTATTAATAATAATCAAGTAGTGATATGAAAACGTAACATGGATTTGTTTCTGTGCAGTTTGGAGAGAAAAAAATAAAGTTTTCTTTTCTCCAATTGTAAATGGTGTGGAGAAGTTAATTAAGTGGGAACGTTTTATTTTCCAGTTTTAAGCATTATATGCATGTGTACTTGCAAGAGAGCACATCTAGACCACCATATGCCTCTGTTACTAACATGCACCTGACAATATACATATATAGAAATGCTGGTACATGCTCTGATGTCCTAATGTTTTACTTTTATTTTGCGTGCTGTACAATGAATGGTGCTAATTGTTTTTGTTTTACTATTAAAATAGTTTGTTTCTATGTGTATCTATTAAAGTGATGTTTTATGTTTCAGGACTGTTGAAAAAAAATAGTCCAGTTTGGTTAAAACAGTTCCTCATTAAAACAAAAAAATCAAATCAAACCTCATCTCCGGACAGCTGTTTCGAAGGGCGCCACGTCACGTGGGCAGTGTGGAACTCCTCCGTACGATCCCGAGCCGATTCCTACCGGCGAAGACGCTGGAAGCTTGATTGACGTTCTGCGCAGCCAATCACAGCTGGCCCAGGTCGACACGTCGGCCAATCAGCTACTTGGAGTAGGTACGGGGTTTACATGGATGGAGTCAGCTTGCATCGAAGTGAGTCGAGTTAAAAGAAGGACGCTGGGCGAGCGCTGGATGTGTTCTGATGTGTGTAAAGCTGTGTTGAAGTCAGAAATGCATCGTGTTTAACACTTGCGAGCTGTTACCGCGGAGGGATATATATATATATTCTGGGGAAAAGTCATAAAATGGGTGAGTTGAGGACATTTTTCTAAGTTTCTGTCAAAGTTTTAAGATAACTCAAACATGTTTAACGAACTGTTAAGTTAGTTCAGTTGAGCAGTTGTGTTAGGCTAAATATATGATTAAAAAAGACAATGTAAAGTAACGGTACAAGTGTATTATTGTTTTTAAAACGCTGCAGTGGGAGATGCGATAACGTGGCGCCTCAGCTAACTTTGCCAACACTGTCAACTAACTTAACGTGTACGACGTGAACTAGCTACTTGTTCACTTGTTGATACTTCTACACTTTGACGTTAACTACGTCCTTATGTTGACATTAGCAAGCTACTGCTCACGAGAACTTGAAATGTATCAACTCAACTTTTTTTTTTTAACTGAGCATGATGGAGCATTTCCTCAGGCTTTGCCTCTTGTCATGTTACATTTTGATATATTTCCACCTCATACTCTTTCTTTAACCCCTTTGTCTCTCTTCTATGGTGCAATTGCAGGTGCACGATAACGTGTTTGCCTTTTATAAGACTAAAACAATTAAAAGAACCCTCGTAAGTTTTGACACGTAAAATGATGAATACGTGAGAATGTCTTCCTGAGCTGCAGCAGTCAGCCCCAACTACAAATTAAATTAGTCATGCATAGCATTCCTCAGTGAAAGCCCCGCGCGCCTTCAGTCAACTGGAAGACCAGTCTGAATAGGTAGTGACACCATGATAGAATTACACTGTTTACCTGGAGTTGTCTCTCTGCACAGCTAAAGGAAAGTGCTTTCAGGAGATCTGTTTAGTTAAGCTAAGCCTCCAAAAACAGTTTGACTATGATCAGAGCTTTGATCTGTGTCATTGCACGTCCAGTTCACTCAGCCAATACATGGCTGAGATCGAACATTGAGGGCATCGCACGCACACGCACGCGCACGCACACACGTACACGTGCATGTACACAACAATCTCCACTGGTAGTTTGTTAAGCAAATAGCCAGGGTGGCCTGGCTGCAAACACAGACGCTTAATACCTCCCCACGCTGTAATAACACCCAGCAAAAGCTGCCCTCAGAGCACAGATCTTTTTTTTTTTTTTCTTTTTTTTTTGTCCATGCACCAAATTCACCACAATTTTCCATGAGCACTCATGCAAAGTCCTGTGGACACAGAGTCCTTTATCTGCGACACTGTCCACCAAACTCCCAGCCGCTCTCACGCTGGATGTTTACAGACACCTCTGGGACAAATAAATGTTGGTGTTTCGAGGAAAGGCCTGTTGGCAATCGATGCTAATGCTATCTGCCATGTCGGTTCTCTACATGCTTAGTGAGACCGTATTGGGCTCATGGGAATCCCTTGTGTTTACCACGACTAAGCTCGGGGTGTCACAGACTCACAGTACACAGTGGTTGAGCAGGGGAGCATACCATCTCTGTCCACCCACCGCCTCACTGAGGACCCACTGAGAGAAGACGTGGAGGAGGGACACAGCTCAGCCACAGCTGGGATAGGACTGCTCTTCTGCAGGTGGACTGGTGAAATTGCTCACATACCACACACTTGTTTCGCAGTCGGGAACATATGTCAGATAAGTTTAGTGCATAATGGATTTTTTTAACCATACATTGTAAACTGTTTGAAAAGGTCTTTTTTTTGGGCATGTTTGCCCTTACATGACAGGAGATGAATAGAGAGACAGGACATTAAGAGGGGGGGGGGGGAGAGAGAGTAATATAATATGTCACACAACATGTCTACAGATAGAAGTCAGACCGTACTGTATGTGTAATGAGACACAATTATGACAAAAGTGCTGATAGACAGCATATTTCTGTCCATGCAGCCATCTTGGATTCTTCTGACTTATAGTCCGAAATCCGACTTCAGGCGTCGTCCCAGTTGAAATGGGATGCAGCTTAAGTACCACGCTCTGTGACTGGAGCTACCGATGACTGCCCTGCATAGCGATGAGTAAAGTCAGAGGTCAGCGGCAATCTTGTCTTCAGAAAGGATCTCCGCCCTTTTGAAGTCAGTGCAGTGACGGTCAAGAGTGTTTGGGATTTCCTGTGGTCATTTCCTGTTTGCTCTGTTCATATTAAAATGCACGCAGAGCTTAAATCCAATCAACAACGGCTCTTTGAAGCAGTCCACTGAACAGTGCTCCGCTGGTGACATGTGTGGCTCGCTGGGTGGGTGGACACCGGTGGAGAGTGACCGCCAGTGACTGCGGCGGCCTCTGTTTTCAAATGGACGCCATGTTTCAACTATCACACGGCCACAGTCTTTCATTTTGTCTGCCCGGGCCTCGTCACTACTTTCTGTCTTTTTACTGAAAACCGAATCTGGCTCCAAGTTTAGCCCGATGTAAAACATAAACATTATTGGTAAAAATGTAGTTTGGGTTATAATGGTGTATTATAATGTTTTGTGACGCATCATGATGGTAAAACTGTTATGCGATGGTTGACACCCCGCAGCATTGAGTCGCTGTGGTAGCTTAGCACTAACCACATTTAGATACATGCCTCCAGAGCTCGTAGCTGATTTCCCCCCCCCCCCCCCTCTCACATGTCCAATAGATCACACCTCTGACATCAAATACAAATCCTGCAGCCCTGCGGCCCGGATTAATGAAGTGCACTCGCTGCAATCCATTCCCATTAGGCCTATAATTATAACTGGAAGCTGATGGGGAATACCGCACTGGTCTTCTGGTCGTGTTGATTGTTCAGTGTGTTGACAGGCAGCTTATGTTACATTCAGTGGGGGGGCTTTTGCTGCTAGGAGATGTAATTATGAGGAAGATCGCTTGCGTAGCTGGGATGCATTATGATATGTCTATAAATATGGTTCTAATTTGTCCCTTGCAGATCTAATAATCAAAAGTTCCGAGTCAGGATTCTCTGTTTTGAAAGTCAGCTATCTTGTGCCTGTTTGCAGCACAGGCAATATATAATGATGTCATAGTAAAACCTTTTCTTATATGACATAAACTACTCAGTACAAGGTCTTTGTAGCTATGCTGTTCAACTCTTTAATACTGGCTGTGCAAAGGCTGCAAAGAGGTACCTTCTTCCTTCCTTGTTGGTATGCTGCAGGACTCCGTCCTGTCCTTCTCTGAGCTTTCCTACAAAATCCGTTACAGTACTTTAAGCCCGTCCGTGCACTCTTTGTAGGCCTGGGATGTGTTGTTTTCGGTCAAGGCCTGATTACTGTAATCCTGGCAGAAGCAGAAGATTGTCTTTGGCTGAATGTTTTATTGGGACTCGCTGCTCAATAAAACAGACACTGTCAGCAGCCTCCGAGTCTCGCTCCCTCGTACCACCCTCTCCTCCAGGCTTTTGTTTATGACTTTCAGCCCTGTGTGTGGAATGCCACTTGTCATTAAGTGCACCCCAGAAAACTCTACAGAAGGATCTAAACCCTTCACAAAAACCAGGGTGTTTGATGCAGAATCGCTCTCATAAACACACGCGATTCAATCTGTTTGCCATAAGTGATGAGTAAGGAGTTTGGAGCAGATCAGAAACATTTGAAAGAGGTTAGTGTTTATTAATCCTGGTTGGGAATTTTCAAGGAATGTATGATGAAAAGCATTGATTTCCATATGCTGTGTCTGTCTGTTTCATCATTCCTTGATTTCTTCTATAAAGATGTGCAGTTTGTGCATCACTATACATTTAGAGAAAGGTGATTTTGCTGTAATCAATTGCATGACTTTTAAGAAGTTTCACTTTTAAACCGAGACATGTGAAACCTTGCTATTGACATGCAAAGTGCTATCCTGTAGAGAGCTGTAAAATGTCCTTAATGAGTGGACACAGGTGGCGGTTCTTCCTCCACACTATGGACCATACATGTGCGTTTTGATCTTTGTTATTGTCTGTTCTATAGCAGAGGTTATTAGAAAAACACCGGCGAGCAAATTGTCTCTCTTTTCCCGTCTGCAGAGCATAGCTCAGCCATCCCAGCATGTAATGACACGCTCAGCTGAGTCTGTCATCAACCACACAGCTGATTTTACCTCTCTGGTGTCTTCCTCAATCACTGCTCTCAGATCAGACCGTAATAGAGTACCTTATATTGAAACACTTAACATATTAGCACAGCATTTTATATATTAATTGTGTATATTTTTCGCTTTTGTTGAGTCTGTCATCTCCATGGGCCGAGTGTTTGTGTGGCGCACATTTTGAAGTCGCGCCACACCACAGACCATGCAGGAGGTCACTTGTGGAAAGGTGTGTTTAGTTTGCTTCAAGAAGCGGGTAAAAAGACAAAAAAAATCTTGAGTAATTATAGGAGTGAGGAGGAATGAAGGATTCCTCAGACTGGTTTCAAAACAGGAGTGAGAAGGTCTCTCCTCGCTTCTCCATTTTTAGTTACAAAAGAGAACCTTTTTTTTACTTCTACCAAACATGTTGATTTCTCTCTTCTGTGCCTTTTTGTGTCAAGATGAGCACACCTGAATATTTTACTTCGTCTCCCCTCCCTTCCTTCCTTTATTCCTTCCTTCCTTCCTACTGACCTAGACCTCGAGCAATGCATTTAAAGGGCAGAGATGAGTCACCCTTCAAAGTCGGGGCTTGGCTGTTATTTGTCTTGTTCCTACCCGTTTGATACATGCAGAAAAGTGACCTAAAGAGGGCCTCATCATCCGCCGCACTGCGTTACATCGGACCTGCTGCCGTCTGTCTCTTTGTCTCTATTGTGTGGGGCTATTTCTCCTCAGGCTACGCATACTCTACCTGCCTCTGTTAGCACTAGCGTTATCTGTTAGCTGCACTGTATTCCGCAGACACTGGCCCTGTGTGTTCACATCCACTGTTTCTGGCCCCGTGCCAGAGGACAAAGGAGGAGGACAAAGAAGCAGAGGATTTCATCATTATTTACAGACAAAACAAAGCTTTGACACTCTCCGAGTTATCCTTCGGATGATTCTTTGCTGCAGTACTGCGGTGTAGGTTTTGTCTTCGGCAGAATTTAACTTGTTGTGAACTTGCGTGGATAGATTACGGAGGGGGGCATACATACCACAACAATGGCGGCTTTATGCAACGACATGATGTCACGACTCTGGCATCTGCTCTCAACATCTTGAAGTCTGAAAATAGCAGAGCTGTTTTGTTTTTTTTTCCTAGAGGAGGCCTTCGACAGAAACAGTCACCTGTGGATACAAACTGTACATCTGCAAAGAAGAGGCCGTGCTGCTGAGGAATGCGGTGTCTCTCATGCCCATGCAGGTCCTAAGACCTCTCCTGCCTCAGCATGCTTTCCTGGGCCGAAATGTGCGGCTGTCAAAAACAACACATTGACCTCTGCGCCTCTTTTAATGCGCATACATACTGTAGTTAAACCTACAGGCTTAATAATGTACCCGAGTTTTAGTTTACATTAGAACATATTTCACAGTCTGTGGCGGAATGCAACCTTTTGAATAATCAAGACTGTTCTTGGGCTTGAAACAAAAATGCCTCAAAGTGATACGAGCAGTGGTTGCCTTAGGCTGTGTTTAAGTGTGCACGTGTAACTACTGAACGAGCCACAGCTGAGTAAAATATTACACGAGTGCAAATCTGAGCGCGAGTTTGCTTTGAATACTACTTTATACAAGCCCCCCCCCCCCCCCTCCCTTTTCATAATGGTTTCTCCACAGGCTATGTGGCCTATCGACGACAATGGTGGCCAGGCCCCCCTTTTATAGCCGTGACATTAACACACGCCCACGATTAGCGTATGAGAATGGTGTGTACACTTGAACTCGCCGTAGTGTCAACAGTCCCCAGGAGCGCTACAAGAGCTTCTTTTGTTTTCATTCATTTGTTTGAATTAGCTTTGCTCCAGATTCTGATGTTGACACAAAAGGTACCAGACCGTGACCAGCACAGCCGTGAACCTTCTGCTGACAAATTGCTGCTGTGATTGAATAACATGGAATGAATAAGTGTGGTTGGGGCCTTTTTTGGAGACTGACCGGCGTACAAATGCCGAGCCAGTCAAGTCCCTTACCGCTGATGCATGGAAACATTCTTCAGTGCTAAATTTGTGTGTGTGTGTGTGTGTGTGTGTGTGTGTGTGTGTGTGTGTGTGTCATCCCCCGCCTATTTTTTGACATTTTACGACGTTTGTATTGTTCCTCCAGGAATGTGTGTCGGCGTAGTTGATCCCCTACATGCTGCCATCTGAAGAGAAGAGCAGGAAGCATGGACGTGGAAGACTTTCCTCCCCCGCCTCCTGAAAGTAAAGTCAACAAAGCATTGTCACACACACACACACACACGGCTTGGTGTGAGCATGCTGCCAATAACTCCATGGTCGTGGGTTCGATCCCCATACGGGCTTTAATCTTTACCTTTTGAGAATGATGGCACCGTGATTGGAGAACAGATGAATGGCGACATTATTTCATCGGCATTCTCGCTAATCCGTTCTAAATTGTGAGGATTTTCTACTCTTCTTTGAATACTACTTTGTTTTAGCGACAGACTCCCCCCCCCCCCCCCCCCCCCTTCTTTTCATAATAGGCCACACCCAGTGGAGAAACTATCTATTACAATGCCCCTTTATACCCATGACATTACATTACTTTGATTGATTGTAAGTGTTGTCACACATATTTCTGTCTGTTTTTTAGAAAAAGATTACAGTGTTGGACCAGAAGTATCGCCTGCTAGCTTCTGTGGGTTGTTTTGTGGTCACATCACTTCCTGGGGGTGGGGGGGGGGGGGGGCGAAGCTGGACAGTGGGAGTAAACGGCACAGATTCCTCTCCTTCTTTTTCTCTGCTGAGAAGTGTGTGGGCAGAGGAGCGAGGAGGGTGAAATGTGCTGTGCTGCTGTGAATACCAGACAATGTGCCTCAGTAATATGCTGAATACTGCTGCAGCGACACACACACACACACACACACACGCACACGCACGCAGCCTCTGGGGATTGACACAGGCCAGAGAAATGCTTCGTCTCCTGCTGGCCAGTCACTTTCTTTGTTGCCGGGGCGATGCTGGAACGGATCGTAACCCAGTGACTCATTCGAGCGGTCTATTATGTAGTAGAGTGGAGACGGGCCCGCAGAACAGAATCCATATTGTCATTATGAATCGACAATGGGCACCTCAGCAAGGGTGTGTGTGCGCGTGTGTGTGCATGTGTGCTTCATGATATTGTACAAAGGATGAGAGAAATCCTCTCATGGTTTGGTTGTGAATGTAGTTTAGAAGGGCTGTAAGATCCTCGCATAACTGTGTATGTGTACGTGTACGTACTCGTATGTATGCTTGCACTGTAAAGTCAGGTCCACATCCAGCAGCACAGTCTCCATAATTAGGCTGCCGGCACATTAGGGCTGTCATTTCCAGTAAATGCCACAATATAAAACTTGTTTTCTGTTTAAAAAGTACAACTGTCCGAAGATAGGAAGTACTACTCGCCCACTTTTTTAAAGTGCTTACATTTCCAGTCTGTTATGGAGCACACAGCTGATGGGTACGTGGTTTCTTTACATTACGTGACATAATGCTGTTAGGACGTGATGTGTCCGAGTTCTCTGTCACCATATTAAATGTCTTATTCGGTTTTGAATACATATTTGAAATCAGAATTTTCGTTAACAGCCCTAATATCCATACAGCTGGCCATCAGTGGTCTCATGTACTCATGGCTGCAGATGTACTACTGAAGGGCCGGTTGTGACTCGTCATTTGGCCAAATCCACTCCAATCCGGCCCTGTTATACTCTGACAAAGTCCAGTGTTTCATGTCGACACCACAGAGGTAGGATCTGCGTCCACATCGGGGCAGTTATGAGCATATGAATGTATACATCCCAGAGTCCTGGAGTAGCGCTGACTATGAGCCAGCTAGTTGTGCCTTATCTCAGTGTCATTACTGGAACACATGGAAAAAGACAGATAGCATCTCTGTTTCCAGGTCTGCTCTGTGCACCTCCTCTTTTCGTGGTAACTGTAGTCGTGGCTGCAGATGGACGTGGGGTCGCAGTGTTGACCTGGAGCATTAGTCACAGACCGTTCCTTCACACGCTACAGCGTGGAACAACCACCTGTCACAGCCGGAGGGGATCGTACCGGTGATTTAGTAGCTGTGTGTACATTGCTCTGAGGGACTTCAAAGTTACTGCGGGGTTTTTGCGACAGGGAGTTTCTTTTTTGAGTTAAGATTTACTTGGTCACTTTCAATGGACCGCGCAGGCCTGGAGGCACAACGCGGCATGGTGCAACGGTGAAACGTACGTATTTTGATGGGGAGAATAACCTTATCTGCTGAACTTTAAAAATGGCCACGTAAATGCTGAAGTCGACTTGCGTCCGGGAGGAAGAACATCGGATATTGATATCTGTCAAAAGGAGAGGGTAGAGCCATGGTGCTACAGCAAAGCTTTGTGGAGGATCTACACATTTATCTGCAAATCAGAAATGTCCGGGGGAAGAAAGGGAAAGGTCAAAATGCCGAAACTCGGGATCGAACCGGCGACCTTTTAGACATCAAAAATGAACCTGCGCAAACTTGGAATTTTTCTGCTTTCTTTGGGAAACACAGGATATGAAAATCCGGCTTTTTTAGACTGTAACTACACTCAAGCTGTGGCTACTGATGAAAGTGCTCTCGAAGACTGCGCGGTATGCTCTGAAGCAAAGCTGTGACAAAGATAGAATATCATCCTTAAAGTTGCAGGTTGGCCCAGTGACACTTAAGGGTTAAATGGTGCGATTGGGAGTTCCTTCCTTTCAGGCTCCGTGGTTTATCCTTCTGTGAACCCAGTTTAAAGGATTGCCTAATATTTTTGAATGTTTTCTTTGCTGAAGTCTTTTCTTTTTTCTTTCACCCCGCCACTGAATGAAACCTGAAATACTTTCATTCACACATTCAGCTCGGGGCCCAAAAACATGAAGCCAGCTGATGAAAGTCGAGCCTTGGCATTTCCTAATCCGTTAACTCTCTCTCTCTTGCTCCTTTTTACTGAGCTCTCCCTGACTCGGGCCCACGCTCTGTTCATCAGATCAGAAATAACGCAAAGCTCCGGCTGTGCTCGTCACTGAAGGGAGTAGCGGCCCTCCTTCCTGCAGGCCTAATTGCAGTGTGGAAACTGGAAAGAAATTTGTTGTTCCCTTTTCCTGTCTGCTGCCAAGCGAGTGCGCTGATGCGAGTGTGATGCCCTTTTTGAACATTAACTACACCTCCCAGCTCTGCCCTACTTTGTCTTTGCTATAAAGTAGAGCAGCTGGTGTGCTGTTTTTGGGTGCAGAAACCGATCCCCTCGTGTAAGAATTTCTGTAAGAAAACATACCGCTGTCGTAGACCCCACCCTTAATTATAAGTCTGTTTGTGGCTCAGTGTTTTAACTTGAAGCAGCCCAAGCACTAAAACTGCCACCCACAGCGTATCTGTAAACACTCTCTAAAGGAGTGAAATTGTATGATTATTGAGTTAAATCCAACCTAAATTTAACTTGTGTTTTGCCAAATCCTGAAAAGCCTACGGTGTGGTGTGATTGTCTGTCATCCAGGAGTTCCGTATGTTATTAGCCGAAGCTAATTTGTATACAAAGCGTGTATGTACTCGGCTGTTGCAGTAGATAAACGGGTCACAATCTTTCAGAAGTTTAGATATTAGTACTTTATTTAATAGTATGCTTGACGCTTCACCTTCACAAGACTTCTCTTGTTTCAGTGTTGACCGACAGCGTCCCCTTCGCAGATGAAGACGAGGGGGAAGCCTTCGACTTTGATGACAGCGGTGATGACATCCCTGAAGCTGAACGCCTGCCCCCTGCACCTCCAGCTCCCCTTGCCCCAAGCACCAATGATCGGGACAAGGCGAGGGTCGGTCCCCCCGAGGGTCATCTCACCGGCCCGGACCCCCCAGCACCTTCTGACGCAGCTCCATCATCGGCAGACACAACAGTTGCCACAAGCGGATCCTCAGCAGCAGCAGGTGGAGCAACAACAGCAGCAGAAGGAGAGGGGACATCTGCTGCTGAGGGCACTGATGACATGGAGACAGATCTACCACCACCTCCACCCCCTCCTCTTGAAGATGACGCAGAGACGGATCCTGCGAGAACAGGTTTGCATCCCAAAAGTGTTGACATTGGCAGAAGTTTCTCTGCACTACGGTATTTGGAAATTAGTTGGCTGCAAATAACAGCGATTTAAAAAAAATTCTCCACATTCCCCTTTCATGTTTGTGTACATTTACATTATCTGGCTGTGATCTAGCCCCTTCAGCTCATGCTAAAGTAGGGCAGCCTGTCTCTCTCATGACACCTTGTATCTCTGGCTGCCTGGTGCTGGAGTTTGTCTGGCTTTTATCACTGAAAGCCTTGACAGCAGCAGGAAGCGCTAGGCTCTACTTGTTCGCACTCATTCTGTTGTACTGCAGTGAAGGACGTCAACACTGCACACATTTTTCAGGTTTTCCCCTTTTAAAGCATGTGTGATTTGAACATTCACAGGCCTTGCATTTCCATCATCATGAGAAATCTCAATTGGCCATATTTCATAACGTATATCTTCTGATTCTCACCTCTCAAAATGCCACATTGTACCCTGATCTTCTGTGCCCTTAACCAGAGCTGCTTGCAAAGGCTCATCCAGAATGACACTTTGGGAAAGTGACATTCTTGAGGTGGACCACCCGATCAGTTTCTAGTAAAAGAATACTTTTTACTAGCGTGAAGGTGCCCGGAAAATAACAGAAAAATGCCTAAAAGCCGCTGTGTGATGGGATGCTCTACTAACAGGTTAATGAACTAAGTTTTGATAAGCTGTTGAACCGAAATACTGAGCTGTTAAGAAGACAATAGTGAGGCATCAGCAGGAAGAATGGCAACACTGTGGGATCCTGATGCTCAGTAGTGTTACGTGTACAGCAAGCATTTTGTCCAAATGTCAGTTTCAGGCTAACTATGTTTCAGTCAGACTTCATTTAGATTTCAGTATCATTCTCCCTGACGTGGTATTTTGTGATGTATCTTCTGTCGCCCACCAGGCAGTGAAGGCCAGGACGAGTCCATCAGTGACCCTCACCCTCCACAGGCCGTCCCCAGAAGCTCCTCCCAGGGCAAAGTCAACCCCTACTCTGTGATCGACATCACTCCTCTCCAACTGCAGCAGCAGCAGCAGCAGCAGCAGCAGCAGCAGCAGCAGCAGCAGCTCGAGCAGCAGCATGGACCCTCCTCCTCCTCCGACTCCGCCGCTTGCTCTCCAACGGAGCCCAAGGAGCCGGAGGGAGAATCCCTGGATATCCCCAGCAGCCCCGTTAGCATCACTTCAGGATACTCGGTCCCAGTGCCCTGTGGCTACGCAACCCCCTCTGGTGTGCCGCTCATCACACCAACGTACACCACACCCGTCCTCATTCGGCACCTCTCCATGGATGAGGACGGTAAAGTAGAGCCGAGAGAGAAAAGTCTCTTGTTTTGCTTTTTACTTTTGAGAGAAATTGTTCCCTCTCCTTTTCTCACTGCACTCGGACCTAGAGATGCAATGCAATGACACGTAAATGCTGTCTCAGCTGCTTCTATCCTCCGTCCTTTCTTCTTTCTCTTGTTTTTCCCAAAGCCTTGCCACAAGGAAGTAGGGGCTAAATTTAGCCCTCCCCAAAGATCTGTGCTGTGAGGATTTTCCGGTTTCCTTAAAATCTGGCAACAGCTGAGCCCGAGCCTGTGGCCGGGCTCAGCTGAAGAGTCTGATTACACTGTCATTATCTTACCACGGTCACACCACATTGAAATACTGAGATTTTTAGGAAAAGAGTTTTGAGAGTCATAGGTGTGTGTGTGTGTGTGTGTGTGTGTGTGTGTGTGTGTGTGTGTGTG